ATAATGATAAAAGAGAAGAAAAGGCTAAATAAAATTAAAAAAATATGAAATATAAGATTTATATAAATCATAAATATTAGATACATGAAGATGAATATTGATTTAGGAAATATAATTATAAAATAGTAATAGGGTTTAAAAACTATTAAAATTTTTATATTCAATTTTAAAATTAAAGTTAAAGAAATAATTTTCTTAAACAGAAATATATATATGAGATAATATTGAATTTAGAAATAAGATTTATTATTCAGAGTCATTCAAATGGATATTAATTATTAAGAAATTTTTCAATGGTTTTTAATAAACAATCTTTTTTTGTTTCTTTTATCTATCCATCTTTTAATGTATGCCAAATTAAGATTGAGGTTCCTGTCTATCTAATAGCAAATAAACTCACTGCTTAAATATTCGAATTCCAATCTTGTACCTAAACTATATTTATTATAAACTCTCTATTTATTGATTATAGAATATATTTTAACAATAAAGCTTATTCAGAAAATTCATTTTTGAAATTATAATCATTTATTTAGAATTCATTAATCTATTGATTAACTTATCCAACATTTGTTATCTACAAAAATCTATGTTTATCAGAGTCTTTCAAAGACATCCACTTTTTCTTGGCTAATTTTTCTAATTAATGTCGTGTAAGTGAACAATTATGCTTCTTGATATTAAATTTGAACTCCTCTAAAAATATTTCAAAAGAATTTATATTCATAATAAATTATTAAAAGTAATTATCACTTCATAAACAAATTTAATCCAGAGATTCTTTTTTTCTTTTTCAAAATAGTATGCTCTTTTCTTTTAAGATTAAATTCTAGATGTGGAAGTTCTAATTAGAACTATTTTATTTGATGCTATATTATCTTTTTGCTGGCTATAGGACTTTATTAAGGATCAGTATCTATTCTTCTGTTGTAATTGCTTTTGCGATTATAAACAAAAGATTTTTCTTATGTAATTGTATTTAATGAAGATGGATGAACAGATGTATAGAAGTAGTCATTAATTTTCAATTAAGGTTGCAAATGTTTCTTTTAAAGAGAATAAGGTTTGTATTTTTAATCTAAGAAATAAGTAATTTTTCTGTCTGTTACTGCATCTTTATTTTTATTTGAATTCAAAATTTAATAGTATTAATTTCTTGAAGATTCACATCTAAAGTTAGGGGAGAGCGATTAAAATTTATTAATGCATAGGCTTTTATTTTTAAATTGGGACTAATTCATTTTAATTTAAAATAAGGAAAATTAAAGAAAAACAAAAATAGATCATACTGTCACTTTTGCTTTTTTCATAGACTTGAACTTGTTGATCTCATTTTAGTATGGCTAAGCAAATAGTTTGTTTTATCAAATTTTCCAGTGGCATGAATTCGAGTATGTTATCAAACTTTTAAATGGTAGTAGTAAGAGTATTAGATTACCTAAAATCCTAGTGAATTAATTTATTTATTAGATGAAATAAATGAGTGAGTTTTATTTTTTTCCTTCTTTCTAATCAAAATTCTATACATGACTTTAGCAGGAGAATTGATATTCTTTGAAGATTCTGATCTATAAATTCTAAATTAATCTTCATTTTAATTAATAATCAATGAATGGTGTAAATCTTTTTTGAAATATTTGCTAGACTAATTTTATGGAAGATGATTTGAAAATTTCTTTTTAAAATATTCTATAAAGTTTAACATTTGTTATTGATTTTAAAGAAAAAATCGAAAATGAGTAGAATTCATTAAAAAATAACTACAATTCATCTTCTTCAAAGAATTTTTTAGATCCTAAATCATAAACCCATTGAGCTTATTATTTCTATATAGTTATATTTGTCCATCAATTATAATATAAATTGAATTTGCAGGATCTCCCTTTGAAACGATTTATTTTGAAGTAAATCTTGATTCTTAATTTCAGATAATAAAGTCCATATAGTTTCGCACTCCACTTCTAAAAAAGTGGAATTTAGAATAATTTATGATTCTTATTTTTCTCTTTCTTTTTCTAATTAAAATAGCAAGAGAAAAAATACCAATAATTATTTTATATATATCCCTTTTTTTATAACAATTAGTGAGATTTTTCTAATGGCTAATAATTTGAGTATGAGATTAATTTATTCTCCAAAATACTAAATAAACAAATAGATGGAATTAAAAGTATTATGTATCTAATTACTTTTAACTTGATATACTAAATTAGGTTGAATTTCAGATGGCAATTAATTTTATGATAAATGTTACTAGCGAGTATTAGAAATTAACCTCAAATATAAAATAAAATTTAGTGCTCTAATCTCCTATTTATATCAATGCTTGTATAGTAGATGACATTCATATTGATGTTCTTTTAAGTATAGTATTAAGTTTCTCCAATCTGCCGATTCATTTAGCTGAAAAATGGTTAATCTTACAATTTAGAAATTGTTAATTCATTTGTTAATTGTTATTATTAACTAATACATATCATTTTATGAATTATTCATATTAAATTAATAAATGGATTCTTTAAGTGATTTGTCCATCAATTGTGCAGATCAAATTGATGGGATTATTGTGAGAGAAGAAAGTAGATATCAAAGAAAAGGTATAAATGAATTATAAAACGAAGGCTATGGTTTAATATTTGCTGTAACTTTGACAATGTTGGGTTTTTGTGTATTCCCTTAATAAATATAATTTTAACTTTTATCCTAGCTTCAAAGCTTTTAGCGTAATAGTTTAATAAAATTCTATGTAGCTCATTATATATAAATGATTATTATGATATCTACATAACTAATAGGTTTCTCTTTAGGTAACTTAGCAATGTATTTGATTTATAAAGCTAACTCACCATTTTTTGAAAATTATAGAACTAGAAAGGTTTAAAAATAAAAATATAATAAAGAATCCATGGCCATGGGATGAAAACCCAGAAGCTTGGAAGGAAAAACGAGTTTAAGTTTGGAAAAGTACTTGTATAAATATGAGTTTGGGAATAATGATGTGTATCATAGACTGTTATTTGAGTCCTAAGTTAAGGACTGATCTGGATTCATTTCCAAGCCTATTTGAGATGATTTGGTAAATTGTTTTTTCAATGATAATTGAAGATACATGTTTTTATTGGTCACATCGAACTTTACATTCTCCAAAACTCTATTCAAAAATTCATAAAAAACATCATGAATTCTATACAAGTATATCTTATGCTGCTGTATATGCCCATCCAATTGAATACATGTTTGGTGATGTTATTCCAGTTTTTGTTGGATATAAAATATTAGGTTCTAAAATGCATATCGCTACTATATGGCTATGGTTAATCATGAGAATAGGAGAAACTATAGATGGTCATAGTGGTTATGAATTCCCTTGGAGTCCATTTAGAATATTACCATTCTCTAGTAGTGCTGAATCACATAATTATCATCATTCTCATAATGATGGTAATTATGGTAGTTTCTTTACATATTGGGATACAATTATGGGTAGTGATAAATCATATAATTCTTTCATTAAAAAAAAGTATAGAAATGTCAACAAAATATAACAAAAAAAACAAGAATGAATCACGTTTTACATTAATTATAAAATTCTTTTATTTTAATTAACTTAATTTCTATTCAAGTTTTATTTGAAAATTATAAAAAGTAATTTAGCTATCTCCCAAGAACAGAAGAAAATCTATAAATATTTATTATGATTTCAAAATTCTTTTAATAACTTAAAATATAATTTTTATTTTTTATTTCATAAGAAATAGAAATTGAATTAAGAAGTAAAAATTTTTAATTTTAATTCATACTATAATGTTTATTATACAATATACATTAATTTAATTAGAATTAATTAAATTTTTTTATTTCTTTTTAGAGATAAAAAATGAAATGATTATTCTAAATTATTAAAAGAAACCTGAAATCATTATAAATATTATAGATTTTCTTCTCTTTTTGCTAGACAACTAAATTACTTTTTAAATTTTCGCTAAAAAGAATGAATTTATAAGTTGATTTGAGAATGTAAAATATAATCAAAAGAAAAAAGACTCTTCCTTTTAAATTAGATACACACTTGTTATTGATTTATAAACTCTTTCAACTTCTGTATAATTTGCCTTTTTAGCTGTTAAACATATAGATCTTATTTTATCCTTTAATAAGAATAAGGGCTCTTCATTCTAGATTAATAATTATTAATTTATTCCTGGAGCTTAAAGAAACAGAATTTGGCATGTTTACAAAATTGGTAATGATTCATTAAGTATACTATTAACCTTTTCTTAATGTTTCTTTTCTTAAGCCCTTCTTATTTGAGATCCAATAGATTTAATATTTGATCCTGAATGTGAATCTTTATTAAGTTATCTGCCTCCTGCCTTTCCTCTTACAACATATCGATGATCACTTTTATGATAAATGCAACCTGTATTATCAAAAACTCCTAAACAAAAATATCCACCATGGCATAAGATAATTGCAAATTTTTAGACATTGTCTAATTATTATAAATTAGGTTCTTGTTCTTATTTCTACTTTATCACTTTTTACTTATTCTAATTTACTCTCTCAAGTATTTCTTTTTATCTACTCAATATACTTTGCATATCATTTAATTAATAATTTGCAAATTCTGAAGATTAAGCTATTTTTTCTAATATTTCTTTTGAACAATCTTCGTTTACTTCTAAAAAATCATAATTCAATCCTTAATCAATCAATGATCTATTTATTACAATATAATTCTCATTATATTTAAATGCTTTATTTTCTTAGGTGTTTAATTTACTCTCTTCTGGTAGAATACCATCAATATTAACTGATTGCCAATTTAATCTAACAAATTCTTTTGGAAGATCCTTGAGTTAAATCTTAATTATTTGAACCCCTTTTTCTTTTATCTTTATTTCCATATTTTTTGGTACTCTATACAAATCTTTTGGTAACACAGGTATTGTTTTCTTACGAAAATTATAAATTTCTCTTAGACTCTAAAAGAATATTAAAATAAAATTACATTTATAAAATGCACTAATCTTTATTCTAAATACTTTTTCATAACGAAATTAAGTTAGTTTTTGAAATATCGATTACATCTGCTTAATTTGGCTAAGTCTTTTAAATTAAGACTTGAGATTATTGTCTTACTTATTTCTGGTTAATTAAAAAGGTTTGTGATCATTATTAAATGTATTTATATATTAAATTCTTTATTAATTTTAATTTAATATATATTTATAAATATTATATATTAATAAATAGATTTTATCAGATTCAAGATGAGACACTTAATAAATCAATATTTTAATTTTCATTTCTAATATTCATAAAAAAATAATCATTATAGCTGAAAAAGAAGTACAGCACCTACAAAACCAAATATGGCAAATCTATAATTTCTATTTAATGATAAAAACCACTTTTTTTATTTAAATAAAATTCCAACATAAATAAATATAAAGCCATATGTTAATTTTCTTATTTTTTAATTAGCTTAATTTAATGTGCGTTAATTTTCAACATATTCTGCATCTCTCTTTTCTTATATATATGAATGATTGATTTCCTTCGATAATAATTATTTTATTTTTTTTTGAAGCACCTTCTAATTATTACCGAATCGTGGAATTCTAAATCTAAATGATTATTAGCATTCCACTAATTATCTAAGTTTGTATGCAATTACAGTATATAAATTTTCATTTAATGCTTCCAAACATTAATAATATTGGCATGCATCTTTATTCTAGCTTTCAAGACAATTAATCATCTCAATTAAAACTATTTACAATAAATTCTCTAGTTCTTCTTTTAATTCTTATGATCTGACCTTTAAAGGATGACCAATCTCTAGAGCTAAAAGCAATAACAGTTCTTTTTCACTATCACCTTTATTATTAATTTCAACGAGCACTATTTTCTCAACTTCTTTCACCCTTTCTAAACTTGTATACTTTCTATTAGAGCGATATTTATCTGCTATATCCTTAATCTCTAACTTTAATTTCTTAAGCATTCTTAATGTTAATCAATTTTAATTCACTTTAAATTAATTATTAAATATATATATAAGAAATTTTTGATAGAAATTTAATTATTACTTAAATTCTTTTTAAGAATCTAAATCTTCCCCAAATAATACATGGCTTGCTTTCAGTGGAAATCTTTTATTAAAAACCTAAAACTATAAACAATTGGAAATTGGAAATTTGAAATTTTGTTTTATAATCCTTTTGCCTTTTGCTTATTTATTATATCAACTTTATTTACAGTAAAATTTTATTTTTAGGATTTTAAATAAATACTTATTGCAAATTTTTTAATATTTTATTTGAATAAATAGTTCCTTTAAATTGAATGAAAACTATTATTACTTTTTTCTCTATTTGAATTCAAGTAATTTTATCTATAACTCTAACAACTTTTCTTTACAAAATTTTAATTGTGTTATATATTATTTTATTCAATCTCATTCAAAAATTACTCTCATAGATTGTGTACTAATAAATCAATATTTCCAATTGTTATAAAATTCTTCTTAATTTGAATAAATCCAAAAATAATCTACTTCAAATTTGAATTCAAAATGCATTTTATTTTTAGATCCATAAATGATATTAATAAAATTTATATTTAGTTTAAAATACTGAAATATTGAATTTTATCAATTCATTCTTTAATTTAATTGATATAGCTAATAAATGATAGAGTAAATTTAATTATTAAATAATAATTATTATTACAATTAAATAAATAATAAATGAAGAGTTGATTAATTCTGCAAATAATCAATATTTATCAATATATCTATTTTTATTATTTTAATTTGATAAATGTAATTTTTGTAAGATTGATATTAATTCTTGTCACCAAAACTTTGATTATAATATATATAGATATAACTAAATCAATTGTGTAATTTAGAATGCTTTAAATATTAGCTCTCGGCTACTTAACAGTTTTTTCTTAACAAATCTCCTACAACTATAGAATCTTTTTTAGGATTATTGAAAACATTGCATTAAGAATTCGCGCATTTATTTCGCTTTCTTAATTCAATATAATCATCAACAACATATTTTAACCATTTCCATGCATATTTTAGAGTTATTTATTTATCAGATGGATGACAAACTCTCACCATATCGAGAACACAATTCAGAAACTTTATTTCATCAGGGTCTTATCTATGTTTACTACTTAGGATTTAATTTTCCTACTAAGCCTCATTATATTTATAATGCAAGTGCTCTAGTTCTTCACTCAGATAGTTATGTACAAAATACCTTAATTATTGCTAATACTGCATTAGTTAATTAACTTTTTCATTTGCAATTTGTAATTATTATTCTAATGATATTGATTCAGTTTCATTTTAAAAATACATTTCCTCCTTTATTGACAATGGTGAGAACTCTTAAGAGTAGCTCATTTAATTTTAACTGTTAGATAATTTAATTAATTCAAAATAGAACTTAATGTTTAATAAATATTTTAAAATACATCTATTATTATTTTAAGAAATATTATATAAATAAGTTTTCTTAATTTTGAAGAAAATTTAATTAATTTACTTCATTATGATGTGTCACTCTTGTCACTCTTATCACTCTTGATTAATTTGAATAAACTTGAAGTTTCTCCTATATTTGAAAATTCAATTGAAAAAGCTTATAACTAAATAAATACAATAATATTTTTACTTCTGTCACTAAGTCTGATGTCTTATACATTTTTTTATTAATTAAATGCTTTAAGAAAATGGTCAGATACTTAATCATTCTCACTTATGAGCCTTTTTCCTAATAAATTTATTAATTATAAAACTTTAATGTTCTAGCAAAATTGTATGCAGTAATTAATATAATAATTTAAATACTCCTAAGGAATATGAAATTATTAAACAATCATGCACATTATTTCTAAGCCATTTGGTGTTACATCAATTTATACCAAACTGTCTATTAGACTCAAAATAAGTTTATAATATTACTCAAAAAATTCTGGGTTAGGAAAAGATTTAGAAAACAAAAAAAATGCTAAGTTTAGGTTTTTCTCAATTATTTCACTTAGATTAAAGTTTATGAGACCATTATTTTTTAATAAATTGTAATTGTCTTTCTTTAAATATTCTTAAAATTACTAAAATTAATATAAATTATTTTATACTTAAAATTCTTATTCTGTGATTTATTCCATATGAGCTTTTGACATGATCTCCTTAATTTGGCTCAATTTATCTGAGTTTATTGATAATGAATAATCCCAAATATTATCAGATACTTCATGTAAATCTATCCAATCAAATTTATTTTAAATAGTTATTGGAATTGGTCTAAAATAGTCAATTTCAAATCCATTTTGTTGTTAAATCAAAGTTGAATTATTTCTGAATTTCCTTGAAAAATATAATAATTTTTACTAAGGGGGATTATTATTATTAATAGAAACACAATTTCTAATTTTATTTTAAGAAATTTAATTTTATGATTAATCTTTTAAACTTGGTTTTTCATTGGATGTAAACTTATCCTATTCTTCAAGCAGGGTCTTAATTGTAATGCCAGCATACTATCTTAATTTTCTTAATGAAATCAAATACAATTTGAGGATCTAAAATAAATTTTTTCTCAAAATCATTCTATGTAAAGATATAAATATCTTATAAACATGATTTCAATTCAGAATTATAAAGTAAATAAATGCTCAATAATCTTTATCCTTTTGTAAAAATCTAGTTTTATTTTAAATATTACATTATCACATAATCCCTGATAAAAATAAGGATATGGATTTGGCTCTGATTCAAATTTTTTAACAAACATCTTTTGTATATTTTCTAATGTCCCTGTTGACTCGAGCAAAAATTTATTTATGGATTCAACTTCAGATTAGGAAATCATGAAATGATAATTATATTATTTAATCAATCTCATAATCAATATTTATATCATAATAGATATTTATAAGCATTCAAATATTCATACATTTTGCTAATTTAGATGTAATTATAATCATTTATCAAACTATGCATACTTTTTTGCCAAATCATCCATTTATTTCTCTAATCCATGATACCTATTAAGGAGTTCATTTCTTCTAATAGTAAATGTTTCCTCTTTTTCCATGAGCACGCTAAGCATTAGAGAATGATATTTTACTTAATTTCACTCTATAATCCATCAAGCATTTTTTCTTGAGATTCTATTGTATCTTAATTTTATTAAATTTTTTAATCTAATTCATTCATAATCCCTTCATCAGATTATTATGCTAATTAATCTATTCCACTAATAGAACAAATTCTTTAAAATTCATCTAAAAGTAGCTTTCTCTCCATTTATAGTGATTCTTATGCCTTCACTTCTGATTTTATTAATTTATCATAATTTTTTGTTTTGTTCAATTCATCTTCAAACTCTTTTAATTATATTCTAGACTATTATAATTCATTATTTTTTTAATTCAATTCCATATCTAATTTATTTTTGAGTTATTCTAATTCCTCTAATTTTTATTATTTTTATAATAATTTAGGATCAAGTCTTTATTATTCTTTACATAATTTTTCAAATTCTTATTCGTAATGTAAACTAGCAGCTTGTAATTAATTTTGTTTTTGTTAACTTGTTTTAATCTCTTATTATAAATTCAAATAAATATTTCTTATTTAATTGCTTTAATTAACTAGTTTTTAGTATGATTATGATAATTCTTAAACTGTGGCTGTTGCTCTTTATAATTCTTCTCTACATTCATCTTTACAAAAATTTGAATAAATTGTATACTTGCTTCTTCTTTTATTTCAGTTATTTTACTACCCAGCAATTCAACTTCCTCTTATGTAGCCTACTTGTAATGTTATCTCTCTCTCAATTATTGATCAATTTATTCTATTTAAGCTTCGTATGTCTTTATTTCATATTTTCTTTATTTTATTTTATTTGCATTCTTTTTTCTTGGTTTCCCATTTGAATGCACTCTTCTTATTAATTCAGCCAATTATTATTTTAACTAAATTTATTCTTAAAGAACTTCTTCTAAATTAATCTAATTAATTCAATTTCAATATTTTACTTATTCACTTTCTTATTGCTATATTAATTAAGTGAATTGTTTATCCAAAATTTTTCTGTAATTTCGAGGATCTAATTTTGTTTCAAAAGGAATTCCATTCTCTTCAAATAATTATTATATTTTGAACATAGAATTTAAATTATTTATCTATAATTTATTTTGTAATTGATTATCTTATCTCAACAAAATGTTAATATTACTAAATTCTTATATAATATCATTCTTATAAATTTGGATATAAAAAAAGTTAGACTATTCCATTCATTTTATTGTTACAACATTAAAATAATTTCTAATCAAATCTCAAACTAAAATATATACTCTCTATTTTGTTTATATTACAAAATTATTCAATTTAAATTCTAAATATTTATCATTTTACATTTTATAATTAATCTGATATATTATTAAAAAGTATCAAATCAATATCGTTTTTTCTTAAACTGATATTTGATTAGAAATAAAAAAATATTTTTAATTGCAAATATTATAACTAATTCATTCTTGATTTATGATAAAATATTATTTGTTATAATCTAACATTCCTATTTTGTCTTTTCCTTGCTCAAAGGTATTTAATTTTAATTGATTATTGCTAACTTGTAAGAATTAAAGGGATCTTAAAAATAGATAAAAAATATTACATATTAAGTTATTGTGATAAAGATTACAGATTTAATGCATCTTCTAATTCTGTATTCCAATTCAATATTTTTAAGGTTGACTATATTTTTGAATGAATCAGATTTCTAATAAAAATATTAACTAAAATGTGGAAATTTAGATTATTCTAATTTTTATATAATTAATTAAATGCTTTTATTCTTTCTTCAGAATCTTCATTAAAAATTTGAATCAAATATAGAATTAATAATTATTTAATTTATCCAAATTGAGATTATGTAATATGTAACTAATCACAATATATGATAAAATTGAGAAGTTTTATATCTTCAATAAAAGAATAAAATTCATCTTATTCATACATTATTTTATTTTTCAAAAATTAATAAGCAAATGCTGTAAAAAAGGAATTATCATAGACACTGTTGTAAGTGACATTTTTAATTTCATTTTAATTTATTCCTAAACTTGAAATTTCTTTTTTTTCTGATATTATACATAAATTAGCTATCTGCTATTATTAATGAAGATTTATTAATATTTCATTTATACTAATATTTTTCTAAGTTTTATTATCAAGTAATTTTTAAAGTTTTTTGTTAATATTTTCAACTTCTATTTATAAATCTTGAACTTTTAAATCTAATTGTTAAAAATGAAGATGTATATTTGCTTCTGAATATTGTTTTTATAATACTAGTTCTTAATCTGATCTAAAACTATGTTCAGAATTTTAAATGCCATCAACTCTTATGGAATTTTTGAAAGTTGTCATAATTATTTTACATTATTCTTATTCTTATTGAATCAGTTCATGTTCACTTTAAACTTAAGAAAGTCTTTATTCAAATTTAGTCTAATAAAGAGAGTTAAAATTTTATAATTCTTTAATCCATCTATTTAATCGTTAAATATCATCTTTCATTTAATTAGTTTAATTAATTAATACATCATTTTAAATCTTTACTGTATGAATCTCCTAATTAATGGACTAATCAGTTTATTATGTATCTTTTACTTAAACTTCTTTATTTGATTCTTATTAAGATTTGACATTACTAACACTTTCATTATCAATAATTTCTTAAGCTCTCTCTGTACAACTCTTTTAGATCAATTCTTGGTTATTACTTTGTTCTACTGAACTAGAGATATTCTATAAAATTTGAGTATAATTAATAGCATCTGATAAATTTTTAAATTCTTAACTTAAACCTTTTAATTTCTCTTCAAATAATTTTTTATTATCATCAAGCATTTATTAAAACTTTTAATTAATTTCATCAAAACTAGTGACAAATTCAGCTCTAAAATAATTCAACATTGCATGTTTCTCTACTAAATCTGTTTATTTTTACTTTGTTGTTCTTTTAATTTGTGTTTCTGATAAATTACTTATTGATTATCTTGAAATAGTTGAGGATTTTTTTGTGAAATCTTTTTAATTAATTGTACTATTAGTATTTTCTTATAATTAAAGGATATCATTTGATAATTTACTAATTTTTTCATCAGTCTATTCAATATTTGTTTATTACTATTATTGTACTTCTCCAAAATCTTTTTACATAAGCTAAATAGAAGTTTATAATAGAACTATTTCATGTTATAATTCGTTAATCAAAGATGTTTAATCTTTAAAGTTTTATTCTATTTTTTACCAATTAATATCAGCATATTTACTTGATTATTTTAATGAAGGTTTTTTAACATGAATCTTATCAATACTATTCTCTATTACTTATTAGATATATTATTTAATAGAATTTGCCTATTGTTTAGAAAAATCTAGAATTGATTTTAAATAAGTAGGACTAAAGTATTTTATTTATTCTGGAAGTTGATTTAAATCTTTATTATGAATTTTTTTATAGGCAAGAGATGGTACTTGCTTATCAGACTCTTGCAATTCTTCTTGAAAATAATTCAATTCTACAAACTTATATTGACCTAATTTATCAAAAACATCTTTGATCTCAGGATTCTAAAATCCCTTTTACCATTATTATACATTAGTATTTTTAGATTTAGGAGAAATACTTCTTTATTCTGTTGATTATTATCTTTAAGGAGAATGGGTATGAAAGTTTTTATAAAATTTCATTGCTCTTAAGATTTCTTCATTTCTATCAACTTGTTATTATTTAATTTCTTCTAACTATTTTAATAATTGATTTCCTAAATTTAATTGTTAATGATTCTCATGCAATATGAAATCAACCCTCTAACGGAATTCATCTTCATAAATATGACTAATTTTTCGACTTGATGATTCAGTTGTTCTTGGAGAGAATTATTTTAAGTCTGTTTGACAATTATTATTAGGATTTGCTTTTTTATATATTTTCGAAGCATTCTAACTTTAATTTTACTGTTATTACATTTTCTTAAATAATTTCTATAATTAATTATATAAATCTATGTTATAAATTTATTTTCCAATATAATCAGGAATTATAATTTTGTTTATAAATCTGAATATGGTAAAATTTTAATACTAAATAATTAAAATGAAAATGGATATTTAGTGTTTATTCAATTTTAATACTATCAGAAATCTAATCAAATAATTAATAATTATCTTAATATTTTTATGAAAATAATGACAAATCATTTCATTCTTTTTAAATAAAAAAAGCAACTTCTATGTTTATTTATTATTGCAGTCAATCTTATCATTGTTAAGAGATCCCTTATATTTAACAATACATAAAAGCTCTATATTAAGAGCAACTCCGAGATTAGGATTTACTGCTTTAATCTATATACCAATATAATATTTATGAATTAAAAAACAACAAAAATTATTTCATTTTTTTCAATAGTTAAGTATTTAACTTGCTGATAACTTCAATAACATAAGCAGTATATTAATTATCTATAAAAAATAGATTTTTACAGTATCCTTATTTTGTAATAGTTCATTCATTATTATTCTATTGTGGAATTAAAATAATAACTAAATAAAATTGCCATATGCTAGAATATTTAGGATTTTTTGTTGCTTTAGTTTTATTAATGGTTATTTTTACAAACCATAGTTATACATTTTATTCTAAATAAGATGTTTCTATTTTAGAAAAAATAATATATGGAGATTTTACAGCACTTTTTAGAGGTGGTGTTTCTACTCTATATTAGTAATAATTTATCATAAAATCAGTGCAAAATTCTATTCTAAAATTATTAATTGTTGTCCAACATTTTCATTATTTGCAATAATCAGGGGTAATATTGATAATTATGACTTTTACAATTGATAAACTAAGACAATTTTTTTGAATTTTTAGAACAATCTCTTTATACAAATATTTTTAATGCATTATTATAATCCTATGTATAATTATTTGTTGATCCATTAACATATAATTCAACAAACTTTTTTTAACCATTATTTGGAAGCATTTTATCTTATTTATTGGGTCAAGGATATATAATTTTAATTTTTAGGAATCTTTGCCAGGTTCACTATCAATAATCTGTCTCATCTCTTATATATAGTATAGGTTTGCTATTTATACAAATTGGATGATCTAAATCAGAAACAGAATATTTAAATTTAGATTTCGAACTTTAATTACTTGATACTGTTTATTTTGAACAAAATCCTTTGCTTTCTGTATATTAATCAAATTATAAATATAGAAAAAATTAAATGAAAATATCATTATATAAAAGAAAGACAATTTAAAAACAATTAACTAAATAATTTGTTGATTAATAATTAAGACTTAAAATATTTCAACTAAATTCAAAAATATTGGTATTTATTTTAATTTTCTGATATTTTTTACTCTTAACTACCTCTATAACTAACTAATTCTTCTAAATTGATTGAATTTTCCTCATAGTCTTATAAATCATCTAAATTTATTCCATTTTCTAATGTTTCTTTTTTTCTTAATCCTCTATCTGATTAAGATATATTCTAAGTTATTGCATTTTATATATTTGAAACATCTTATTTTATTGAACCAATTAGTTTGTTATTTTTATCATCTAATTTTAAATTCAATTTTTGAATGTCCTATATTTTATAATTAAGTTCTTCTAAATGTAAATTATGTATTTGCTTATTTTAATTCCTTTGTTATTATTGATTTTATCGAGCATCTTAAAGTGTTTAAATTTATTTATCCGGAGAACTATTCAAATTTGTAAATTCTAATTTTTTATCTTTATTTTGTTATTTTTTTATCATCAAATTTTATTATTAATTTTAAAGAGAAACAGGAGATTAACTTCTTTTTAAATGATTTTGCTTCAGTTTCTAATAATAATCAGGGCTATTTTATTTTTTATTTTGACATTCCCCTTACTAATTAATTTCTTTTTCAGTATAATTTTTTGTATTTTTTGGTTTAATAGTTGAATTTTCGCTTTTTCTAAGTAATCTATCAAACTATTAACGCATAGATTCTTGTTATTATCCTTAACTAGATTAAATTGACTATTAATTTAATGCTTAAGGTGATCCCCTTTATTACTATCTTTATTATTTTGGTGATTTATGGAATTATTAGGTTAAAAGATAAGGATTTCTCTATTTTTGTTATTGAGATAAATTTTTCATAGGAACACTTCCAAATTAATTAGATTATTAATTTTTTTTTTTATTTGAATGAATCTATGTATATCCTTAATAAGGACTCGACTCAATCTAAACTTTGTTTTAAATTGGATAATCAAATATTTAATTTTAAATTAATTTTTTATTATTTTAAGAATCCTAAGACAACCTTTCTTGATTCTGCTATTATAATTATTTTTATTACTATTAGTATAAATATTGTTATTATATTTATTATTATGTTTATAATTATTTTTAATTTTATTATTAAGATTATTGAGAATATTATTATTATTATTACTACAAATTTATTTTATCTTAGTTTTGAAATTATTAATTTTTTGATTTTTACAGTTATAGAGCTTAATTTTTCAATTATCCAAATGATTATTACTAGGTTAAATGTTAATTTCCATCTTAAAAATTTTATGCTTTTTATTATGCTTTTGAATCAAGATTATTAAATAATTATTATTGGTTCTATGATAAATTTTTTTGAGTTTAGGATTTAGATCCAACATTTATTGGTGCATCGATAAATGTTGATGAATAGCTAGAAGACCAATATCTTTCATTTTAAATATATGATTTTTCATCATTAGGAAAAGGATGATTTTTTAAATTTGCGAAATTTTAACTGATTGATAAAATACTTGGATTTTCTATCTCATCATTAGAAAAATTTTCAGTTTCTTCATACTCTAATTTAAAAATATTTGTCTTTTCCATAGAATTTGGTTGTTAGTATTTGATGTTATTTTTATTTTTTTCTTCTTGAAAAAATATCTCTTATTATTATTGTTTAAATCTTTTATTTGGTTTTTCGTCAGTTTATGATCTACTATGATAATCAAACTAATTATTATGTATAATATCAGAGCCAAAACTATGATTATTAAGTTATTATTTTCTATCAGATGAATACTCATAGATTTCATTATGTTATTTTAATTCTGTTTAAGTTGTTACANTCTTTATTATTTTGGTGATTTATGGAATTATTAGGTTAAAAGATAAGGATTTCTCTATTTTTGTTATTGAGATAAATTTTTCATAGGAACACTTCCAAATTAATTAGATTATTAATTTTTTTTTTTATTTGAATGAATCTATGTATATCCTTAATAAGGACTCGACTCAATCTAAACTTTGTTTTAAATTGGATAATCAAATATTTAATTTTAAATTAATTTTTTATTATTTTAAGAATCCTAAGACAACCTTTCTTGATTCTGCTATTATAATTATTTTTATTACTATTAGTATAAATATTGTTATTATATTTATTATTATGTTTATAATTATTTTTAATTTTATTATTAAGATTATTGAGAATATTATTATTATTATTACTACAAATTTATTTTATCTTAGTTTTGAAATTATTAATTTTTTGATTTTTACAGTTATAGAGCTTAATTTTTCAATTATCCAAATGATTATTACTAGGTTAAATGTTAATTTCCATCTTAAAAATTTTATGCTTTTTATTATGCTTTTGAATCAAGATTATTAAATAATTATTATTGGTTCTATGATAAATTTTTTTGAGTTTAGGATTTAGATCCAACATTTATTGGTGCATCGATAAATGTTGATGAATAGCTAGAAGACCAATATCTTTCATTTTAAATATATGATTTTTCATCATTAGGAAAAGGATGATTTTTTAAATTTGCGAAATTTTAACTGATTGATAAAATACTTGGATTTTCTATCTCATCATTAGAAAAATTTTCAGTTTCTTCATACTCTAATTTAAAAATATTTGTCTTTTCCATAGAATTTGGTTGTTAGTATTTGATGTTATTTTTATTTTTTTCTTCTTGAAAAAATATCTCTTATTATTATTGTTTAAATCTTTTATTTGGTTTTTCGTCAGTTTATGATCTACTATGATAATCAAACTAATTATTATGTATAATATCAGAGCCAAAACTATGATTATTAAGTTATTATTTTCTATCAGATGAATACTCATAGATTTCATTATGTTATTTTAATTCTGTTTAAGTTGTTACAGCTTTATATTTTGTTTGTTTCAATTAAGGTCTCATTACTTCATATTTATATATTATTTTTGATTACATTTGCATTTCATCTTCTTTCTTTAATAAATCAAAAGTTACTGGATCATATATTAAGGGATTTATAGTCATATTTGATATTTTATAACTTGCACTACTTAAATCATATGACAAGCAATCAATCATAGATGATATTAACAAACATTAATTTATCTCATAAGCATCATAAATAACTCTACGTTTTGAACTTTTCTATGATAAATTTATTGCTTCTTATTTTAGAATAGTGCTATTATTTATCTATCCCATTTAAGTAAAATTAATAGAAAATTTATAAAAAAAAATATTTTTAGTTTTATTATAGGATTTCATTTTAGAGGTTTATTTAATGAATCATCATAAACAATTTAATCAAAGAAAAAATAAATATATATTAGCTTACAATTTAAATTAATAAAAAGTATTCATATTGTTATAAATTTTGTATTCCATCCTTCTTTTAATAATAACTATTTCTTAAAATTATTTAATTTATTCAACTTTCTTTTAAATTTATGTAATTTCTAATATATGACTTTCATGATTTTCAAATTTAAAATACAATTTTTTTTAAAAAAAGAATTTTTTTGTAAAATTTATTTATTAATAGAGATGTTCCATATTTGGTGCCAAAAATTCCTTATTTGAATATAGAATAAAAGATAGATTTAAAACCTTTATTCAAATAGAAAAATTAGAGTTTGATTCAATAAATAATTTATTCTAAGTTAACTTTGAATTAATACTTTTAAAATTTAAATTTTAAGATATAACAAGTATTTTTTCAACAAAAAAGAAATAGATTATATAGATATATTAGATTTAATTATTTCAATTATTAATAAATTATAAATTTAAACTCAAATATAAAAATTTAATAAAAAATCATATATAAATGAATCATAATTTTTTGTTAATGTTGTAAATTCTTGTTATTTAAAGACATAGAATTATAATTAATCAGTTAAAATTTATATGATCAGATTTGTTTTGAGAAATTTCATTTAATAATTGAGTATATATAATAAAAGGAAAATGTTAAGAAATTAAAATAGATTAAGACTTAGAGATTCTAGGTTTTTAATGAAATTTATTAATGAGTTAAGAATATAAACCATTAGTAGAGATAAAAAATATGTAATACTTATTTTCCATTATCGAAGAATAAAAGTAAAAATGGAATAAGATTCATGAAATTTATAAATATCTTCAATTTAGAGTTGAAAATAAAATTTTGAAAATAAGATGAAAAAAATTAACAAAATATTCCAACACATTATCCGTAAATAAATGATAACTGATATCGAAAAACAATTTAAGAACTGACTAAAACATGTAAAATCAATCATTTTATTTTGTACTATGAATCATATTAACAAAAGCGTCATCAAAAGAGCTTTCTTTTCTATCTCTGAAATTATGTTATTCTGCAGTAGATTCATCTTATTAAATGTTGAAATCTATAATAGTTGCTTTAGATATAGATCTAGTTTTTTCTGCATAATAAAATGCATAAGGAATATAAAAACAAGGAAATTGTTGAACTCCTGTAAAAAATATTTATATGGTTATTTAAAAAACAGAATATGTTTATTCTTTACTTTATTAAAAGCAAAATAACTCTTTGTTAGTATTATACATAATTATTATGAGTACAATGAATGTTATCATTGTGATAGTCTACATCCATATAACTAATTTAATCTATTTTAATTTCATGGTTAATGTGTTTTTAGGCATTGAAGAACTATCAAGAAATTATGAATATTATTCTTGATTCTAATTTAGTGATTCTTCTTTTCTTCTAATATAGTAGATTAATGACTATCCATGTATTTAAGTAAATATTGTGATTATCAGTATCTATACTTCCAATAAATCGAGACTATAATAAAAATAACTATTTTTGATAATGTTATTGATACTTATTGCAAGAAGAATCATCAATTTCAAAGAAAAAGAAAAACTGCAATGAAAATACAACTAGATAGAAGGCTCCTTTGATGATTAGTAATCTTAAATATCTGTTTTTTCTTTTTTCTACTATATAGATTAAATTGAATAATTACAGTCTTCTGCATATTTGAATCGATATCTCAAATTAGCTAAGCTTTATGATACAAGAATGAAGGTTGTTAATTACAATAAGCTAGCTGAAATGATCATTCGATTCGAATTATAAATAGTATATTGAACTAAATGAACAATTGCTTATAAACAACAGCAAATCATAGGGGCTATTTCATATCTTATCAATCTGGTAGCTTTGTAATGATTTAAGGACCAATTAATAGAGATTATTGCTATTATTAAAGATACTCCAGCAAGTATTGAATATCGAATGCATGATAAAAAATGATTATCACATTCTTCTAAAATTAAAATCATTCTAAAAATAATATTATATCGATTAATTCATCTGTTTCATTATAAATATAAACCCACTGGAATTGTTTATAACTTTATGTTCTTACTACGGAATATTAAATCTTTATTATTTTCATTTTAATAACCTAAAATTCTTTATTCTTCAATACTTCCATACTATTTTGTTATCCATTTAATTTAAAATTGAATTTAAATCAAAATTTATCAAAAATCTCTATTAAACTTAATAACTTAACTTTTAGAATGATTATTCTAATACATTATTATTCAATATCAATTTAAAATAATTTATTCTTTAAGTGAAAAATAAGGGATTTAAGGTTATTAAGTATTTTTTAATCCAAATTTTATTAGAAATCATTATTATCAGAAAATCATAAAAACAAAAATAAAAAATATAAATAAATGTCTAATCAAAACGATTAACATAGTCAAATAGAAGAGCACATTCTCAGACTTTATGATATATAAGATTTTAAAGGTAAAGGAGCTTATGGAATAGTATGGAAAGCAATAGACAAATAAACAAAATAATAAGTGGCATTAAAAAAGGTTTTATAAATAAAATTAAATGATAGGTATTTGATGCTTTTTAAAATTAAACAGATGCTTAGCGAACATTCAGAGAAGTTTGTTTTTTATAATAATTAACAGAACATGAAAATATAGTTAAGTTATTAAAAGTAATTAAAGCTGAAAACTAGAAAGATTTATATATGGTATTTGAATATATGGAGAGTGATTTACATAAAGTAATAAGAGCAGGTTTGTTAAGTTCTTTGCATATGCAATATATAATATATTAGTTGTTAAAATGCTTAAAATTTATTCATTCTGGAGAATTAATTCATAGAGATTTAAAACCTTCAAATTTATTAATAGATTCTGATTGCAAAGTAAAAGTAGCTGATTTTGGATTAGCTAGAAGTGTTGCATAATCTGAAAATTAATATGGTATTATTATTATTTAATAAAATGATTAGAAATACCTATAATGACTGAATATGTAGCAACAAGATGGTATAGGGCTCCAGAAATATTATTAGGATCACATTATTATTCAAAATCTGTAGATATGTGGAGTGTTGGATGTATATTAGGAGAAATGTTATTGGGAAAAGCAATCTTTTCTGGAGCTTCTACTTTGAATTAAATAGAAAAAATTATTGAATTAATTGGAAGACCAAAATAAGAAGATTTAGAATTAATTAATGCACCTTTAGCTTAATAAGTTTTAGATGGAATTTCTATGTAAAAAAGAAAAAGCTTTGCAGGATTCTTTCCTAATACAACTCCAGACTTTATTGATTTTATTCGTTAATGTCTTAATTGGAATCCTTAAAAAAGAATCACTATTGATGAAGCATTAAAACATTAATTAATGAAAGAATTTGTCAATACAGAAGATGAAAAAACATTAAAGTCTATTATTAGAATTCCATTTAATGAAAACAAAAAACTTACTATTAAGGATTATAGAGATAAAATAACATTAAATTGTGAATAAATTCTATAAGAAATTTAATAAAACACATTTGATAAAAATATAACCAAATAATATTTGTCAACTCCATAAAACTATTCTACTTATATCAATAATTTTGATTCAAAACAAAAGCAAAATGTTTCTTACTAACAAGTAACTCAACCTGTAGAAAAACCTAAGAAATTAGATTCTTTTTATAAACCTGATGGAATTAATGCTTATTCAACTTAAAAAAAGTCTGATTATTCTCCTTCACAAAAACCAAACATACTATCTAATCCATAAAATATTAGTTCAAATTTCATTTAACAAAAATTCACTTCAAATTAAAATTAAGGATTTAATTAAGGATTAAGAAAAACATATACTAATATTGTGAATAGACCACATAATGATTATAATAAGAGTCCAGAAATGAAGAAAAAAACTGAAAATAATATTATTAATGTAACAAAATCTTATTCTTTTCATGGTGAGACATATGAAAGAAGACTTGCTAATGGAAGTTTTAGCACATAAAATAAGAATGAAAATAAACCCTCAACATCAGTTAGTTATGTTAGACCAGTTCAAATATAATCTTTGTCAAATTATAATACAGCATAGAATTTTTCTTAATAAAAAGAAATGTTAAGACCAAAAGATCCAATTATGATTACTTAAGCTTAAAGAAGTAAATCTTTTGAGAAATCGCCTATTAATATTAATCCAACAAGTCCTTATCAAAGATAAAAGACTGAAGTTTCAAAACCTAAATTTATACCATAAAGTATTAAAATAATCTTATTTAGATCATATTAACAACAGCGTAGCTTAGGTGCAGAAATTGTTATAAAAATGCTGTTAAGTTTAGAATTATTAATAACACAAAAAAACTTCAAGTGTTATTGACCCTTCAAAATAATAACCGCAGTAAATTTAATAAACCATAAATTATAATTATTTTGATATTAGAAACTCAAAATTTATATGATTACTATTTATTTTTTGTATATTAATATTAATATCAAGTAATCAGTATTATTAAATTGATTAATTTACATTCATTAGAAATATTTAAAGGGATTCTTGAATTAAGGAAATGAAAGCTTATAAATTCTAAAAATAAAAATGTATATTAATACTGTTGATTTATTTATTCATTCGATGTTTTTAGGTTTGATAATTTAATAAAGTAAGGATGAATTAAACATTTTTGAGCTGAAGGTCTTTTACTAGGTTCGTTTAACATTTAAGTAATTAGTTCTAGTAATAATGGGCATTTTAGATTCTTGCTGATTTGAAATTAATTTAATTAATTGAGCTCACAAATTTTTTTTTAAGTCAATTTAAAAGAATATATACGTTTTCCTGTTGCTAAAACATGCATAATTGCTCCTAGACTATAAATATCACATAATTAATTATAAGTATGTGACTATTAGTAGATTTCTGGAGCAACATATCCAGGAGTTCCACATCTTGATTCCATACCTTTTGCATCTGAAAGTAATGTTGAATAACCAAAATCAATTATTTTTAATGATTTTATATCTCCTTTTACTTTAAACATAATATTATCTAATTTTAAATCCCGATGAATTATATTAAGAGAATGCAAATATTAAAGAGCTTTTAATAGTTGTTTAAATATAATTCTTATCTCTGACTCTTCTAATTTAAGTTGTTTCTCCTGCATGTATTCAAATAAAGTACCTCCATTCATATACTCATATACAAATATATGAGTATCTTTATCAGTAAACATTTCTAACATCTTCATTAATTTTGAATGAGGTTACTTTTACAAGGTCTTGCAAACTTTTATTTCACTATTCACTCCAAACTTAAAATAGCTTTATAATCTTACTAATTGCCATTACGTACATATTTTTGCTACAACACATTCTTTAGTTATAATATTTCTACATAGTACAATCTAATATCATCTTAAAAAAAAACTTACTTGACATTATTGGTTTTCTTTTAAAATTTTTATAATTTCATATTTCTCATGAAATACTTTTATAGTTGTTAATATTAGTTGAGTTTGTGTTACCAAATTATGAAACGAATTAGTAGATGAATTTTTTTTTATTTACTTATTACTCTTCACCTAACATTATGTTTCAAATTACTCAGCTGGTATTTTACTAATATATACTTCAATAATAATACTCTAAACTAACTTATAAATGATTTTAAGTAAACAACTCTCCATTTTTTTCCAGTTGATTAAAAGAAATATTATGCTATTTCCTTTCAGTTTTTTGTAGTTTTGACTTTTAAAATTCAGAATCCATTTAACCCTATTATTCTCCTTGTTTCATAAATTTAATCTTGAAATATTAATATCTCTATTTTAGATATATATTTTTAATTTATAGTGTAAAAAATTAATACTGTTTAAGAATTCTTAGAAAAAAATTAGAAATTATTTTACAAGACAGAAATTTTTTTAAAGACTTAATAATTTAGATCAATATAACTTATCTGATATTTCCTCCATTTAATGATTAACAATACTTTATTTTTATTTTGCTGGATTTTTGATAATTAACAAAATATATACATAATTTCTAATTATGCTTCTTTTAATTAAAATATTTTATATTATATTAAGTTTCATTATCCAATGCTTATTATCAACAAAAATATATAAAAATACTAAGCAATTCTTAAATTTTCTTTAATTTAAGGTTTGTGAGATTATTTTCAAATCTTATTAAATAAAATATATTAGTTTAGAGTTGAAGATTATCTTTTAACCTTAGCCAAATTTAGTAATTTTCATAATGATTACTATCCAGTTAATTCATGTAAATAAAATATTAATTTTATATTTCACTTTTTTCTTGTTACAATCATTGTATATTCAATAAATTTTATTGTTTCATTTTAGATCTTTTACTTAAAAATAATCTATTTTTCGTGATTTTTATACAGTCAATGAGATAAGAATTAAAAATAACACCAATATTTTGAATATTAGAATTAAATACTAATTTAAATTCACATATTGACCTCTTATCTGATAATTAATTTTTATGATTTAATTATATTATTGCAAAGTGATTAGTGTATCATTCTAAAAAGTGTTTGCAAGTATTTATTTTTAATTTTGTGTTTTTGTGAAGCGTTTAATTAAAGATGTTTGAATCAATCTAACTTAAGCAATTAAGAGGTATTAGCCAAATAAAATAATTTTTTTACAAATTTTTTTTTCAATATATTTTAGCAAGGATCTGTTATAATTTAGGAAGAAAAATTATTTCCTTTGTGATATTTATTCATATTTTGGTTTGAATTTTATGTGCAAATGTTTTTTTTTAAATTTTTTCAATTTAGATGAATTTTCTTTACAAGATCATTTATTTTCTTGATCATCTATTCTTTTTATTCTGATTCTTTTTATATTAAAAATGGAGAATAATTTCAAAAGCATTTATGAAGTAGGCTAAATAGTTGTTGGACTATTTATGGAGTGATTTTTTCAAAACTATCATAAGTACGAAATGATTAAGTTCCAAAAAATAATTTTTTCATTCAATATATTAAAACTTAAAAAAATAAGTTTTAATTTATTTTGATTACCAATATATGATACTTGTTGAAAAAAGGTTATCATTTATAAATACTAGTATTATGCCCTAAAATAATGTAATATAATGGATATGATTTTGCTGAAAATATTTTAAAAATTAATTGAATAATTATTCAAAGAAAATGCAGATTTGAATTTTTCATGTGATTTTAATTAATTATATATAATTATTGTCTATAAAAATATTTGTGGCTTAATACTGAAAATCTAAAATTAAATAGAAATAAATTAGTTTATTTAAAGGAAGAAAAATAAATGAAAAACTACATTATAATTAATTCATTATGGCATGTTACAATAAGTTAAAGTTATAGTATGAAAAGTTTATACCCATAATTTTTTTTACAACATTTAGAATATAAGAAAACAAAAATTGATTAGTTATTTTAAAAATTAATTTATTTTATTTATGATGAAAAAATTGCATGGCTTTCTTAATATAACCATGATGACTTAGACGCCTGATATATTAAAAAAATTATATAAAAATAAATTAAGTGTTCTATAAAATAGAATTTATCTCAAAAAGAGACAATTTTTATATCAAAAATAGTTAAAATATTTAGTTATAAAAATGATCATTTTCTTTTTTAGTTTACCCATTCTATGTTTAAATTAGCATTTTTAGCAAAAATTATTTAAGTATTCTTATCAAGTATTTATTCAATTTTATTATTATCTCATTATATATCAAAATTAAGACTTTATACTAGATAATAAAAAATGTTTTGTAAATAAGTATTCTTGAATTAATAACAGACATTTAATAATAGATAATAAAAGATAATCATTAAGTTAATTTGTCTTGATCAATAGAATAATTATTTTCAAATTTATCTAAAGTAATAATTATTTTTTTTTATTTTATGATTGAAAAATTACTAAAAATTGTTATATTATGATGATTTTATAAAAATATTAGAATAATTTATTATAAGGATGGAAATGTAAAATAGAATATAAAAATAAAATGATTACTCAATAAGACTTAATTATCAAATAAACTTCTGTGAGTGAATTTAAGATAAGCTTAAGAAAACTGTTAAATTTTGAATACTAAAAATAAATTTTAGGAAATTAAATACTGTATTAAAAGAAATTAATTCTAAAGAAGAAATAATGATCTCCAAAAGTTTTTATTTATTTAAGGTTGAAATAAAAATACCTCAATTATAGTTTTAAAAAATATAATTTAAATATCAGAGAAGATTAAATATAATAATATTATATATTATTAATAGATAGAAACATAATATTGATGAATATATTAAGAAATGATGTTAATATTTTCATCCTTATTATCCAAATTATGCAGTCCATTGTTCATGTTGTATTAAATCTTTTTATGCAACACTAGGTTTACATTTAGGAAGTACAGCCATGAAATCATTCTAAAATTAAGATTTATAGTCTTACATATTAAATATTAGGTAAATGTAATTGTTGACTTTTAATGTCTTTTAATGTCATTTTTAAAGCTTAGGGATCTGATGATGAACAAGCAGTATATTTAAGTTGATTTTGAAATAATTCTTATTTGAAATGAGTAGCTTTTGAAACTATTCTTAATTATTCATAGGATGCATCTCTAATAAGAGTATTAATATCAGATCCAGAGTAGCCTTCTAATTATTAAGCAAGTTATTTAATTTAATCTTGGTTTAAGTTATTAGGTGTTTATTTTAATTAATTTTAAAGTAAATTTAATCTTCCATGCAAGTCTGGTAGAGGAATATAGATTCTTTTTTCAAATCTTCTTCTTATAGCTGAATCTAAATTCCAAGGTATATTAGTAGCACCTAAAACAAGTACTTAATCATTATCTGATCCAACTCCTGATAATTCAACTAAAAGTTAATTTTTTACTCCTTTCATATTATCTTAAGTCCCAGAATTTTCTCTAGCACTAGCTAAAGAGTCTATTTCATCAATAAATATTATTGATGGTTTTTTCTCTCTTGCTAATTAAAATAATTATTTTATTGACTTTTCTGATTCACCAAGATATTTTGATATGAGATCAGCAGATGATATAGAAAAAAAAGTACCATTACATTCTGTTGCACATGCTTTAGCTAAAAATGTTTTACCTGTTCCAGGTGGCTAAAATAAATATTAATAATATATTTACTCCATATAAAAGAATACCTGTCCATGGTTTACGAGCTCCTTAAAATAAATTTGGAAATTTCATTGGTATTATTATTGCTTCTTTTAAAACTTATTTTGCATTTTCTAATCCTGCTATATCTTCCCATTTCACATTAGGTTTTTCATTTATTATAGCATTACTTAAATTAGTTTTCAAAGTATTATTTTCAACTTAAATTTATTTTATAAATACTATTATTATCTTTTAAAATTTATTTTTTTTAATTTTAATCTTCTTTTTTATTCTATTCATTTTATATTTTATTCTATTCCTCATTTTGTTTTTCCTCAAAAGGAGCTAAGTATTATTTCATTTAATTAAGTTCATCGCAATACAATGATAGCTTTTCTTTTGCTAAATTTATGTATTCCTAATTAATTTCTGTTTTTGCATATTTGCATAGTTCCTAACATCCTTATTTCATTAATTCAAATCCGTTTTTCTTTATGGAAAATTAATCACCATTCATAAATTGATATTTCCCTATAGAATATTTATCAATATCTACCTTCATCTATTAATTAGACAGCATTTAATCTTATTTATTCTAAATTTTTAGTACTCATTAAAATATAAAAATAATGATTTAAATATAATTGTGATTTTCATAAATATTAGTCATAAGATTTAAAAAGATTTCAAAAAATTCTCCTTCTATGAAATATCTATTCTTATTTAAATTACTCAATAGAATTTCTTACATAGATAGTATTATTTTTACAATAGAATATTTTTATTTATTAATATATAATTTTCATTCCTCATAAATAATATTAATCTTTTTAATTTCTTTTTGAAAATTTATATCCATATAAAAGATAGCTTCTTTTATTTTAAGTTCTCTAAATTATAAGATTGTTTATCACTAATATAAGGATTCTCTTACTAAATGGTCTTTTTTATAAATATTGAAATAACACATATATACATTTAAAATTTCTCTATTTAAAACAGTTAATATAATTTAAATTATATTAACAATTGAATATTAATTGATGAAATTATCATCAAATAGTAATATTCATATAAATTATAATTATTTGAATACAGAACAGATTCAACCGTTAAATATTATATTAATTATAAAATTAACATATAAATTAATTATTTAATTAAATATTAAAATACCAATAAAGTGAATTCATTCCAATATTTCATCACGAATAATCTAGATGCTCATCTACCTTCTAGAATTGCTCATACATAGATTATTTGATGGAGAATTATCAGATTTATTTCCAGTTTAATAAGTTAAATCTGAGTTTGTTAATGGAATNTCTTCCCATTTCACATTAGGTTTTTCATTTATTATAGCATTACTTAAATTAGTTTTCAAAGTATTATTTTCAACTTAAATTTATTTTATAAATACTATTATTATCTTTTAAAATTTATTTTTTTTAATTTTAATCTTCTTTTTTATTCTATTCATTTTATATTTTATTCTATTCCTCATTTTGTTTTTCCTCAAAAGGAGCTAAGTATTATTTCATTTAATTAAGTTCATCGCAATACAATGATAGCTTTTCTTTTGCTAAATTTATGTATTCCTAATTAATTTCTGTTTTTGCATATTTGCATAGTTCCTAACATCCTTATTTCATTAATTCAAATCCGTTTTTCTTTATGGAAAATTAATCACCATTCATAAATTGATATTTCCCTATAGAATATTTATCAATATCTACCTTCATCTATTAATTAGACAGCATTTAATCTTATTTATTCTAAATTTTTAGTACTCATTAAAATATAAAAATAATGATTTAAATATAATTGTGATTTTCATAAATATTAGTCATAAGATTTAAAAAGATTTCAAAAAATTCTCCTTCTATGAAATATCTATTCTTATTTAAATTACTCAATAGAATTTCTTACATAGATAGTATTATTTTTACAATAGAATATTTTTATTTATTAATATATAATTTTCATTCCTCATAAATAATATTAATCTTTTTAATTTCTTTTTGAAAATTTATATCCATATAAAAGATAGCTTCTTTTATTTTAAGTTCTCTAAATTATAAGATTGTTTATCACTAATATAAGGATTCTCTTACTAAATGGTCTTTTTTATAAATATTGAAATAACACATATATACATTTAAAATTTCTCTATTTAAAACAGTTAATATAATTTAAATTATATTAACAATTGAATATTAATTGATGAAATTATCATCAAATAGTAATATTCATATAAATTATAATTATTTGAATACAGAACAGATTCAACCGTTAAATATTATATTAATTATAAAATTAACATATAAATTAATTATTTAATTAAATATTAAAATACCAATAAAGTGAATTCATTCCAATATTTCATCACGAATAATCTAGATGCTCATCTACCTTCTAGAATTGCTCATACATAGATTATTTGATGGAGAATTATCAGATTTATTTCCAGTTTAATAAGTTAAATCTGAGTTTGTTAATGGAATAAATTAAACAGAAGGTTTCTTATTAATTTCACTTTAGGACTCATTATTATTACTATGAATTTTAGCAAAGAATATTTAAATTTCTTCCTCTTTCAATCCTTATCTACATAATGGACATTAACTATTTTTCTTTGTCCAATCTTATAAACATTAATCATGAAACAGATGATTACAAGGTGTTATTCTAAATTTCTCTTTCTTTTCAAATTGTAATAAACATATTGAGCATTCCTTAGACAAATATTCTTATAACATTTTCTAAGCCGGCATATATTTATTTAAATGAGCTTCCTCCAACACTGGTTTTACATATGTAATCTTTTTATATTGCTTTTTATATGAATAATAAATGAGGAATAAAATTATTATACCTAAAAAAATAACGGCACATATAGTTAAAATAGCCCACAATGGAAATTCATCAATTTATATTTTACTAGTCTACTATATAAGATTACTTCAATTCTAATATTAGACTATGTTCTCTATCCAAATTTTCATTAAATACTCCAATAAATATTAGGTATTCATTTGATTCCTATAAGTTTGAAAAGTAATTCTTTAGATTAATATTTACATTCTATTTCTTATCTATTAATTAATATCCTTTAAAAAAATTTGGTTATTCAGCAAAAGTTTCAAAAACACCAGATAAAAGTGAAATTCCCATGAGAGCATTGGAATTGGATATTTTCAACTATTCATTTTAAATTATGCTTACAATGTAATCCAAGCTTTTCAATTGATAATATGCAAAAAACCAACTCTATATATTCAGGTTAATTTAAACTAACAAGCCAACGTCAATAAAATTTACAGATTAATCACAATTTAAACCATAAGATGGAAATTTGCATTTTGGTTCTTTTAATTACTCAATCTAATTAAAATGAACCTTTATTATACATTATCATATATGGTTAATTTAAAACTCATTTTGGAGTCTGTTTCATTAATATTCTAGTAAACTTTCTCCATTTTCGAATAAATGGAGATTGTTAGATTTTAATTTTCTTCCCTTTAACCTAACCATAATTAATGTATATGTTATTTTTAGGAATAAGACTCGTAACTAGAAGATTATATTGTTTTTTTTTCATCAATTATTTCAATTATAGGAAAACTATTTTTATTTAGAGGAAACTGAACAATTTCAAACTATTAACTTAATAGCTAAATTTTTTTACTTATATTATATATCCATGATTTTTTTTGAATAAGTACTCGTAATTAAAATCAATAAGTGTGAACTATTCTTCAAATATTTTCTTTGTATAACCTATTACCAAGAATATTATTATTTAATACATTAATTTAAATTTAATGAATTTACAATTGAATGAAATCAAAAATCAGTAATTCAATATCATTATTTTCTTAAGCTCTTCTAATATTTTATTAAAACATATTAAAAAAGTAATAAAATCAAAATTATTTATATTTAATAATCTTGGTATAATAAAGGTGATTTATGTCAATCATTTTTTTAATTGAAGTTATTAATAAAAATATTTATGAAAAAAGAAAAAAATAATTTTAAAGTGTTCAATTTATAAAACAATAATTATTATTTACATCAATTTTATTTAGTCTTATTCATGATATCTGTTAAGATAGTCTAATCAAGATATTTAGATTTTTAATTAAATTCTTTTTCAAATTTTTTAGTATCATCTTAATCTACTCCTAATTCAAGTCTATTTTTTATATTGATTTTTACATTTATTTGTTTTGTGGTTTTTATCCATAAAGTATTTATAAATCAGATGGCAAAAATTCAATGTTTTTTTTCAAAAATATATTTAAATCATTACTTTATGGTAATTCTTTAATTGGATTATAAGGTTCAAAAGAGGGATAGTCTAAAAATGAGATCAATTTCTATTTGAATTCTTTTGATATTGTAATATTTTTCTACCTGTTTAATCATCTATAAGTAATTTTTATGCAATCCGAAATCTTTTTTCATATGCTTTTTATATTTATTCTCTAATTTAATTTCCGATTAAAACAAAGTATTCTTTTTCTAATTTATTTTCATAGCAATAAGCATGTACAAATTCATCAATACTATTATATAGGTTATTTATCAATACTAATTGAATGCATTTTCTAAATCCCATTATATGGTCTCTTTGATTTTGGATGTATTAATTTGTAAATTTATCATGGAATCATTTTTATCAATAAATTATTCAAAAGCTAATATATCTTGTATATGTTTATATTTTTTATGATCCTCTATTGCTAATTTGACTTGAAATAAACAATCTTCAATAATTTCTAATTAATGATAAAATAATTATAATACTATGTGCTTCAAATGCAGTTAGTTTTGCAATTTTATTTGGGTACTTTTCTTCTAATAAATCTATAATAATGGCAAAGAGATTTCTAAATAATTTTTCATCTGAATAATCATCTTCAAAGTCCCATAAAATTTATTCTTCTAACATAGTCTCTTTAATGTTCAGTGAAGCTAAGGGTATATTAAGTTTGATAGGATAGAGATTTTGAGCTATTGTTTGCTTTCCAGGTGGAAATGGACATAATTTTATGTTATTTTGCAATTTTTCATTATGGGTCTTAATTTTGTGAATTTTCTTTTTAATGCAATCAAGTTAAGCGATTGATTCAGATAGTTTAGTGTTCTGCATTAATAACAAAAAATTAAAAATTAAAAATATTTAAAATCTTTTTATAAAATCAATTATTTAAAGATATTACTAAAATGATCGAATAGATTTACATCTACATCCTAAAACATCATTAAATATTTATTATTAATTATAGTATCAAAAAACTTTATTTACATACTTTTCTTATATTATATTACTCATTTTAACTGATTATATATTTCCACTCTAAAATTGAATATTTTTTTAATGATTATACTAAATATGTTATAGCAAAGTAAAAAATATATAATAAATAGAATATAAAATCTTGATTATTTTGAAAAAATAAAGATTTAGAAAAAAAGAATGAATAAATGGAGAATGTTTAAAGAATGAATAATAAATATATAAAAAAGGAGTTAAAAATGAAATTAAATAATAAGTATTTATTGAAGAATAAAGAAATTATGATAAAGTTTGAATAAACATTAAATAATTAATTGTAGCATTTAGATAAATTAGGATGATTTGATTTATAGATAAATTGAACAAATAAAAAATAATAATGAGAAAAATAATATAATTATTGGTTGTAGTAATTGAATTGGTAATAGGATAAAAAGAATAAGCAAATACAGCATCATATGCAGCTTAATAATAAGGAGCAATGGCAGCTGCAATAGCTTAAGCAGCGCCATATGCAGCAATGGGTATTCCAATAACGATTAAACCATAAACTCCTCCACCACCTCCTGATCCTCCTTCAATTGGAACTGAACCAGAGCCTTCAGAATATAATGATCTTTTTACTTATTCGGGTTATTTTGATCCTTATAATGATGATGTTCATGCTTTTATGATCAATGGAAAAAGAAGAAAAAGACATAGAGTTAATTGTGGAAGAGATAGAAAAGGTAGATATTGTGATTTTAGAAGATCTCATCATTAACATGGTTTATATAATAGAGATTGCATTCATTATGCAGGATCTTTAGAAATTTTTGGAGTTTGGTAATGTGGTTCTAGAAAATAATTATCAACTGGAGCTGTTATCAGATTTTTGGTTGAATTACATGAACTTGTTTTAGCATATAAATAATAAAAAAATGATTATGCCATTTAAAGATTTTAAAGAGTTATGGAATATAATAGAGATATTTATGCTAAATTAAAAAGAGCATTTAAAGCTAATATAAAAAAGAATATTGAATTTGTTATGGAAATATTAAATAAAACTAATGAATAAGTTATACAAAATTTTTAATAAATTCTAGATATGTCTAAAGAAATATTAGCAGATATAAGATAAGATAGAGAAGCAGAATTAGAAGAATTAAAAAGTTAATTATAAGAATTATTAGAAAACTTTCCACCTCCTTTAAGCATATGTTAATAATTAAGAGATTGTGATTCTTGTTTATCAAGGGATGGATGTATATGGTGTACAGAAGAATAAAATTGTTAATAGGGAAATTCAAGAGATGGAGCATTTTTTAATAGTTGTGATATATGGGTTAGTGGTTAAGAATGTCCTGAAGAAGAAGCTTAATATAAATTAGATAACAAAGTTAGTTATAAAAATGAATTAGAAGATTATTACAATTAATCTGATTTGGAATTAGACTAAAAATTATATTTAGCATCTAAATAAAGAGATATGATTTAATTAAAAAATTAAATTGAAAATAGAAGAGTTGTAATTGATTAAATGATCAGTATTGAAAGAAATTTGAAATAGAGAAGTATATAAATTATTGATGAATTTTCTAAAAATAAGCAATATGATGGGGATTTTCTATCTAAAATTCTCGATGAAGATGCAGAAGGTTAATGGACTGATTATAAATAAGAAACCAAAAAACTATTTAAAGAAGATTAAGAAGCTTAAAAAGAATTAGAAGCTGAAGAACTTGAATAAAGAAAATAATAATCAGAAAAAGATAAAAAAAGAGAAGAATTTGAAAAAAAAGAGTTGGAAAAAAGAAATGAATCTACTGTTATTAACAAATCTAAATATAAAGATAGAACAAGTGTAGAAGATGTCTTAGAAAAAGAATAAGGCAAATTAGAAAAATAAGAAGAAAAATGATTTTAAATCAAAATTATTTATTTATATTATTAATCATACATAATACATATAATACAATAAATAAATCAACTTTATACAAATTATTGCCTGATTTTTAAGAATTTAGGAAGTTTTTATTTTTTTATACACAAAACAAAATATAAAGATTATTCTAAATATTGTCTATTTAAATCACAATCATATTTATATAAAATTGTTTTGTTTTTAATTTAATACATATGATAAACCTATTATTTCAAAGTTTCATTTAATTAATCATATAATAACTTATAGATTATTATTTATGTAATATTGTTTATTATGAATTTGTTATACAATTTGTATCCTTTTAATTAATTCATAATAAAATAGTATTTATTTTGTCTAAAAAAAGTAAGTATTACTTTTAGATGAATAATAAAAATGTAAGTTAAGAGTTATTTTTATTTTATTATATTAATTAAGCTAAAAACATGGATTTTGGAGGATAAATTTGATGCTATTTTTTGAATTGTTATTAAAACTTTTTCTAAATTTAAATAAAAGAATTGGTTTTAATTTTATGATTTATTTTATAAATATTTCTCCTGTACAATTTTCTTTTAATAAAATTGCTATCTAGCTCTAGTGAATTTAATAATACTAAGTATTTAAAAAAAGAAATATATATTATTTTATATAACAAAATAAGCTAAATGTAGCAATAATAATAACAATTAAGATCAGGTGAAATCAGAAGGCAATCTTCAACATAATCAAATAGTGCACTTGATGAACCATTTCTAAAATTTTTAGCTGAAAGTAATTATTTGGAAAGTGAATAATCATCCTAAGAAAATCATTAAAAATTAACTAAATGCAAAACTGAACATCTACTTTAACCAATATAGCTTCTAAACTCCAATTCATTTACTGTTAGTGATAAGAAGGTATGCATAAAATTAGAAAAAATAGTTTTCATTTCCAGCAAATGAAATTCTTGAATGGGAAACTTTACAAATAACATTGCCACCAGAAGTATATCAATTTTTATTATATATGAAAACTTAATGTAGTAATGGTACCATAGTTTATACAAATGAATAAATATAAGGTTTGTTTGATGATAGTAAAGTAATCATGTATAAATAGATATATTAAAAATAGTAAAAATTAATTAGAATTATTTTAAAAATTGTTAGATAAAGGATGGATATCAAAAACAACAAGATTATTCAATGATATTGCAATTAATTTTTATGCATTAGCTGTAAAGAAATTAACATATGAAAATTTGGTTTGGATTATAAGATCAATAAAAAGAGATTTAATAACTCCAACAGAAAGATTAGTTTAAAGTAGGATTAAAGAATGTTATGGTTTAAAATACAATAGAATTGAATGGGAATTAATAATGAATTAATTAAAATCTCAAAAATAATAAATAAAATTTCGTTCATCTAATGGAAAATTGATTGAATTACCATTATTATCAGTAAAGAACATAAAGGATCCATTGATATAAGAAGAAACATATGGAATTTATATTTAATAATAGAATTGGATAGTTGAAGATGAATTTTAACCAGAATTAGATAAAAAATAAGAGTGGAATATATTTATAGAATTTTTGATGGATTTTTTTGCTAAAACAAATGCATAAAATAATAAAATTTTAAAAGGTGGTAGATATGGTTGTGCATAATTCATAAAGTTATTAGGACCTAAGAAATTAAGAGATTTATCACTAGGAAGATTAACTCTTTATGTTTAAATGGCAGTTAATAAGAGTTACATTCGATATAATAAAACTATTTTGATATAAGAAAGTAGAGAAAAATCAGAACATACAACTGATAGTTCTGCTGATGGTGATCCATAAATTAAAATAAGAGTTAAAGAACTTTAAGAGTAATTAATAGAATTGCTATTAGATAATCCTGATGGGTATGATTTAATAATTAAATAAGAGTGTATCGTTGGCATAAATACCTACATTATTAAAAGAAAGAGTCAATTTTGAATTAAATTTAATTGAATTAGGTTTTCCTAAACTTAAAAATTTTATTGAAAGTGTTAAAGATGTCATTTCCATTGAAAATAGTGGTAGAAATAATTTTGTTGCTAAATTAAATTATTCTAAATTACCTAAAAAATATTAAAGTAATTTTAAGTAATAAATTATTAGAAGTTAAATAAAGTGAATCCTTTAATTAAAAATATATTTACACTGTTTTATAAATGATTAAAAACATTTTAAGTAAACACAAATATGGAATTAGTATTAATCAATTATATTATGATTTATCTTAGTAATTAGGAGAATGGTTTAATTATCAAAGATTTTAATGCTAAAGTTTTTTTTAGTTTTTATAAAATTATGCTGAAAATATTCTAGTAATAGTTTGTTAAAAAGGAAATCAATATTTAATTTATGAAAGAGATTTAAGATTTTTACCTCCTCCATAACCAACTTAAGATATTAATGATTAATAATTTGAATATATCTTAAGTGAAGCCTTTTAATGTAGTTTAGGATTATCCATACCATAATCAAGTTTTTCTGGAAGTTGGCTTGGTAAAGTAGGAGATTCTTAAATTAGATAAAAAACACCTCCTCGTATTGAAGATTCTCATTAAGAAATTAAAGATAATCTCAAATTTATTGATGAATTATTAGGTAATTATTTATTATTCAACTATATATTTAGGTAATGAAAATAAATAAAATGATACTTATTCAATCTAAGATTGGTCTGAAAAATCAATGAATCCATTAGGAATGATAAGTTCAATAAATTATGGTCATAGTGAAATCCAAGATTTCGATCTAACTAAAGAATTATAATTCTCAATCCAATAATAATAATAGTAACAATAATAATAATAATAATAATAAAATTAAGATATAAAAAGAAAATGAAAGTTTTTTTTATTTTATTACATCTTTCAATTTATACTAATTTTTTTGTGATAATATATATTATTTACTATTTAGATAATTAAAAAAATTAAATTTAAAAGGAAATATCTCTATCCTTTTTTTTCGAATAAAATCTTATCTCATATTCATTATTTTTCTTTTTTTAACAATGTTTCTCTATTATCTGATATGAAAAGTAACTAAAATAATTCTAATGATATTCATTAATATCATTTTTTATAGATATAATTATTCCCCTTCCAAAATTTTTATTTATATATAATTACAACTGATGTGGATGGATGTTTGGTAAAAATTTCTTTTCGATTCTAATCTTTTATTCTAATATTAGGTTTGTTAACAATTAAAAAATTTGATTTATTTTTAAAGAATAAAAAGAATTAATTTGATTACAATTTTAAGTGAATTGTTAATGAGTTTCTTAAATTTTCAAGAGTTTACATATATATATAGAGTACATGATGATCATAGAAACATTTTGTTTTTTGGATTGTTATAATTCAATAACCTTTTATTTAATTCCTAAATTCTCCATTAAAGATAAATATTAAACCAAAAATTGGTGAATAGTATAAGCCATTAAAAACTCCATAGTTTTCAACTTTGAAATTAATTTAATAAATAAATTCAATCTATTTTTTTTAATAGAAATGCAAGAAAATTTGAAAATAGAAGAAAGTAAAGTGAATTAAGTTCTAAAAGTACAAAAGTTGTTTCCATTTTAAATAAATGGAGACACTATTGTCTATTAATCTAAATATGTTAAGAATTTGTATACAATTATAAATGAAGAAGATCATCATGACAAAAGAAAAATGTTTGATAAATTATCTACATTGTTTAGGATTTTTTATGGTATCATTTAATTATTAATCCAAACTTATTAAATCATAAATCTCTCTAGATTAAATTCAAAAACTATATTGGTAGAATTAACTAATGGTGATTATCCATAAATACATTTTACAAATTTACATGAAAGAATAAATCTTGTTACATATAATGAAAATTTTATAGAGATAAAACTTCTGTGTTAATAAGCATTCAAAAGTTTCTAATAAAAATAAATTAATGATTTGAAGGATAAATGTCCTTCAGAAGAAAAGTAATAAACTATCAAAGGGATTCATTATGCAACAGCTCTTTTGAACTAGTTTCTGAATTAACTGGAAACAGATTTGTATTTTAAGAATATTAAAGAATTTCTTTTAGATAACAATATTAACTTGTTAGATGAAAAATTATTGTAAAAAAAAGACTGGAAGAAAAAAAGTTATAATAATATGAACGAATAATCAATTAGATTTGACGAATAAAATACATAAGTTTAAGAGAAGGAGCAAGATTATTGAATTATTAAGAAATTATTTTATTTATTTATACTATTAGTTAAAATTATGGATCAAATAAAAAATGTTGATTCTTACTTAGATACTTTGTTTGGAGATTTTAACAATGCTAAATGTTTTAAATATGCTTAAAAATTGGTTTCTATAAAATCATAGAAAATTTTTTAAGAATTAGATTGTCATTAGTTATTCATTAATGGAAATCAATAACATTTGGATATGTCTTTTAGGTCCTAAACTGCTTAAATCTCCATACCAACAAGGTACTATATGAAAAATAGTAAGAAAGATTGATTGTTTTGGTTAAATAGAAGTTAAAACCTTTACAAAAGAAGAAATAGATTCTCTGAGAAAGGAACGAGGACAAAGAGCATAGTTAAAATTAAGAGAAATTTAAGAAGCATCTTAGAAAAGAAAATAAGACTTTGTAGATTCTTGGAAAAAAACTTAACAAATTTAACATTAGAAACCTTTATATTAAATACTTTAAGAATAAGAAAATGCATAAATAAAGTAATAATAAGAGATAATACAACATAAATTAGAATAAATCAAATTAGAAAGGAAGCCTTTAAATAAAATAGATTTTGAAGAGCATAGAAAAAAATTTTGTGAATTGATTATAAAAACAAGGCAGAAGTCTAATGAATCCTAATTAAATAATTAGAAAAAATCTATAAGTCCTGAAAAATCTAATTATTATCAAAAAATAGAAGAAGTAAAGGTTAAATAAAAATTATTAGAAAAGGAGAGAAAAAATTAGCTACTAGAATTATAAGAGAAAAAGAAGATTTTTTCTGAAGAAACAAAAAAAAGGTTTAAACCAAAATTGAGTTTAGAAAAATAAAATGAGTTATTAGAAATATAAAGTAAGTTGCATCATAGATCTGATTTTTAAAAATATTAAGTATTAGCAAATAGAGTTAGGTAAAAAAAGATATCATATTAAATTTATGACACTGATGAAGAGACAAACTCTTTGAATAATTTTATAAAAAGCAAAGATTAAAATACATCTTATGATATTGCTAGTTAAGACACTCAATTACCAAAATTTAAACATAAAAGCTTTGTTATTGAAACAAATAACTAACAACAAAACATAAATTATTGGTAAAGAATAGCTTTGAATCAAAATTTATCAAATAAAGATAAGAATTTAATTATAATTGAAGAAGCAAAAAAGTAAATTTAGATAATAATTTAGGTTAGAAGAGTTGTCAAAAAAATAAGAATAATTAGCACGTGTTTCTGGTTATGAAAGCTTAGAAGCAGACAATCTTTTGATTAGTTCCATTAAAGCTAAATTAACAGTTTTAGAAAATTGAATTTTTGGAATACAAAAATTATATTCATATATAAAACACTGTAATTGCTATTTTGTATGAAATAATTAATTTTAATATATTACTGTTAACTTAATGAGATTTAAATAATATTTAGCAAGTTATAATCTTGGACTCAAACAATAAATTTAAGATAAAAAAAATGTATTATCAAAATAAAGAATTATTATTGTTGTAGAATAATCTTATTTAAATCCTCATTTTATAAAAGGTGAAGAATAAGAATATTTGCTATGATAATAATTGATAATATATTGTAAGAATACAAAATGATAAGATTTTTTTTAAACACAATTTTAATTAATTTGGTTAAAGTAGTTCTATAAGTATGTGGAAATAAAAAAAACATGAAGAAATTATAACTGTTAAATAATTTTTTGTTTTATTTTAATTCAATTTCTCTTTTTTTTTTATTCTAGTAAGACTAACCCTGGTTCAATAATTTATTATTTTTATAATTATTATTAGTCTTCTTCTTATTTTAAAGGTTAATTTGATTTTTATTTATTATTAGTCACAGATTGTGCCAATAATAAAGTGGCCCAGTCAGCATTGTCATTTTTTTTTTAAGTAAATTAATTATCATCATCCTTTTTATCAGTTTTTCTGGAATTTTTTGAGAATTTTTTACGTCCTTTAGAAAAAGTTTCTTTATTTACATCTTCTTATTTAATATTTGATTCAATTTTTTTTTGTTATATCATAAACTTTTTTTCTCCTAAATAAGGAGCATAGAGCAATTTTTTATTTAATTCTTCATGACACATTAAACAAACACTATTATATTTAGTTTCTTCTTTGTCTTTAGTTTTAGTAGTTAAATTAAATGTTTTTAACTAATTAATAGAGAATAAATACTTAGCATTGAGGACATGAATTTTTATTAAGTTCAACAGAGAGAATAGCAGGTACTAATTAATAGAGACACCAACATTCATTACAAGATATACAAATTTATTAACCTTTACTGATAAAGGGTTCTAAGATAAGTTCTCCAAATTAGCAATTTTTGCATTTTCCAAGCATTCTAGATTCTTTAGATTTTTCACAATTAACATTAGGACATATATTACAAGTGCATTAATCAGATGTAACAAGAGGTGAAGAGGTAAAACATTTAGGACATATAAGAGTTGTATTAAAAGGAGATTTATTGCTGGTGCATAAAAGTAATTCAAACTATTAGATATATTATATACAATACTTTATCAAATGGACATCTATATGCTCCATAAGTTTTGAATTTACAATCTGGTAATAAAGGATATGTTTTAATACACTATTTACAAATAGCAGAATTATTTGATTAAACTAAATATCTATTGCAATCTCCACATCTGCTTAAGATAATTTCTTCATCTGATTATTTAATTTATCTGTTAATTCCTTACTAATGATATTAGATTAATTAAAAATCATTAATTCTTTCTCTAAAATGAATAAATTTCTTGGTAAAAATTTAAATGACTTCATCTATAACTTATTAATATTTAAGTTTTCCTTTAGCAATTTAATCAACTTGAGATTCAATATTAGATCTTAATTAAGGTGCTACAAGATCAGAATCAATTCTTTTATAACCTCTTACTAATGATAATCCTAAATCAGTTGGTTTTAACTTTCTTGATTAACCTTCTACTTTAACATATTATCTTTCACAAATATTATTGATATGAGTAGCCATAGAAGCATCAGTTCCTATTTTAAATTTATCCATTAAAGTAATCAGTTCAGTTTCTGTTAAATGATCAGGAGGACTAGTTTAACCTTAAGTATATTCAACAAATGCTATTTAAACTTTTTTATTATTCACAAACTTAGTTATATCACTTTTATTCTCTGTTATTGCTAACCAATTTGCAACTTTAGTGAATCCTGGATCTATAATATATTTAGATTAATATTTGAATTATTATTCATTGACAGAAAATTTTAATGTATGATTTTCATACTTACAATCTTTAGAATGAGCAGCCAAAAACATTTTTACAACATATTCATACATACTTTTCTCTTCTCCATAAAGTTCTTATGGTACATTTTCAGTGGGAGTGATAGGAGGATGATCTCCAATATCAACTCCTTATTTAGGATTTAAATGACCAGATGTTTTTAAATATTTGCTATGCTCACTTATAATAGTTTCTTTATATTTTTATAAATTATTAATGATTCTTTGAGTTGGGAACTCTTAGGGATATGCTGTTGTTTCTGTTCTTGGATAACTCATATATCCTTTTAAATATAATCTTTCAGCAACATGCATTGCTTATTATGGTCCTAAACCCAAATAAGATGAAGCAAATTTCAATAATTATACTGTATTTATTCCCTCAGGTCTAGGTTTTGATTTTTATTCAACTTATTAAGTGATAACATCTCCTTCTTTACATTTTTATAACTGTTGTACGATCTATTTTGCTTCTTATTCTTTCCAGATTTATTATCCCTATTATTAATTATATTAATACAAGCCATTCTACTTCTTATTTGTAACCAACATTATTTGATATACTTAATTTAATTGTATAGAATGCTTTTGGTATAAAATTAACAATTTCTTCATGTCTCTCTACACAAAACCCTAAAGTAGGAGTTTGACAAGGACCAAAAGTTATCATTTGATCCATTGAATACTTTTTTTAAAAATAAAGAGTTTAAAATCTAGAGAATGCAACTCCTACTTTCAAATCTATTATTTATCTTGCATCAACTGATTCAGATTCTAAAATATTCGGACCACTATTTAATTAATTATAAGCATTTCTTAAATCTGTTTATGTTATCGATGAAAACTTTGCTCTTAATTTTCTAATATAATTTAATTAATGTTATTACTTTGCTCTTCCTTAAGAATTGCAAACTTCATCAACTTCAAAACAAATATTCTCTCCCTCTCTATCATTATCTAACCATAATATTAAATAATCTATTCCTGAAGAACATTTCTTTAATAAACCTATTCCCGCCTTATTAGCTGGTTTCTTTATGGTCTTTGCTTAAAATAACTCTATAGGATCACATGAATTCTTAAATGATAATTAAAAATACCCAATTTTCATATTCTTTTGGAAAATCTCTTGAAAATAAATGTCCATTTGTTGCTGTCACAGTAAAATTTGCTTACTATCCTTTAAACATTCCAGAGAAGTAAAAGAATGCTTATCTACCCTTTTTAGCCCTCACTTTATTTCCTATTGCATATGCCACTGCTTCTGCTATTGAATTTTTCTCAGCCACCTTTTTCTAATCATATTATTTACCATTAAAATCTTTAAATTTGATCCTGAGTAATTTGCAAATTCTTCATCTTGATAATCATAATCATCTTAATCATCTTATTCACCATAATCATATTGATCCATTAATATCTTTATTTACTTTTATATAATTATTATTTAATATTAACCATCAATCAAATTTATCATCATCCTTATTTTTATTTTATGCTTCTCTCTTTCTATAAATTACTATCACTATTTAATTTTTTATATCATAATTTATTATTTCTCTTTCCCTATAAAACTCATTATAATTATGTAATCTTTCTTATCTTCTTTAATTCACTCTATATATAAAGCTTGATACATTTTCATTTATTCTAAATTTTAAATATATTATTAGAGTTTTTGATGATGGTTCAAGTTTCATAATGTCTTGGCGATGGCCTTAATGATGTTGATGAATTATTTGACTTTCAAGAAAGATCCTCTTATTATAAAAAACATATATAAAACTCACATAAAGTTAGAATTGATATGTTTTAACATCAAATTGTCAAAAAAGAAAAGAATCACTCTATCAGTTTCAGAGATGAAGTTGTACCCAATTATGGACTTGTTGATATTATGATCGTTGAAAATTGGAAAGATTATAATATTATTCCAAACTCAGAGATTAGAGATAACTGTTCTTGCAATATCTTATGACTAGTAACATTTACAATGATAACCTTAATGTTTTATTATCAGTAATACTATTATTATTCCTTTAAATCATTCAAACCTTTTAGTTTTACACTATATAAATAACCAAATATTTAATTAATACTAAAATAAAATTAAATATTATTATCTATTCCAATTTAATATACCTTCTCTATTTTTAATTACTTTTTATTTTTCATCTCTAAAATCTAATTTAAAACTAATACAACATATTTTCTATCATATAAATAAATGCTTTTCAATTTATTAATTTATACCATTCAATTATCAATGATATAATATTTAATTTTGTAATATATGAATGATTGGTGTTATTTTAACCTTCAAAATGATTCAAAAAGCTTATTCAATCTAATTTTAATTTTTAAGTCTAGGTAAAAAAATGTTTTCATGTATCTAAGAATTTAAATAAATTGTTATTTACTTGATTAAAGTTAGCATAATGAATCAAATTGAATTTTATTGATATTCTAAATAGAAAACCTTAAGTTAATTAAAACTTTATAATAAGAGCTTGGTTAGAGATAATTGTTGTAATAATATTGAATAGAGATTATAAAACAACGATAATCTCTGAATATAAATAATTTTCTTATGTATTTTTGATTTGCAAATATCATTTTTAGTTGATTTAATTAGTATTTATAAAGTGTAATTTTTTTAATAAAAATAATATAATTAATGGAGATCTTAATAAAAGAGGTTCTTAATATACTTGGAATAAAAGGTTAAATACTAAAAAAGGATTTAATAGAAAAATTAAAAGAGAATGGTCTTCCTAGTTTTGAACCAGAGAAACTATTTGAAATGTTATTGAGTATAAAAGGTATTCAAATTAATAATGATAAAATTTAATATGAGAAGCAATCAAATAGATTAGAATTGTATATTGAAGATGATAAGAAATATTTAAAAGTAATGGATGATATATTTTAAATAATCTTGAAAGATAAGGATGGATTAAGCTATCAATAAATTCAATAAAAATTACCAAAATCAGGAAAACAATTGGAATTAAATTAAATATCACATTATTGTAGAAAATTGTATGATTTGAATCTAGTAGTTATTTCATGTAAAAGTCATTGTAAATAGGTGAAAGCAAGGAAATTTTGTTAATATTTAAAATGGAAAGGATTTGAAAATACAGAAGAGGAAAAGAATTAAGTTTAATAACATAATCATTATAAGGAGTTTAATTTTTATTAAAATCTCTGGCTTAATTTATAAGAATCATTACTTGAATCAGAAGTTCGATAAAGAATGAATAAATGTGAAGAAAGTAAATCATTTTCAAGATTGATTGATAATCTATTTAAAGGAGCATAGGAACTTACTTAAGATGCAGAGAGAAGAGGGAAAATATTTATGTATAGATATAAAGCAAAAGAACCATTAAAAAAGTGGCCATATGTATAAACAAATTAAAAAGTAACAATAAGAGGAACATTAGTTAATAATTTTAATGTAGAAGTATTAGAAGAATTATAAAATTTACTTAAGAAGTAAGGATATGAAGTAGAACAAGATAATTATAAAATTGGAGAATGTTTAAATAATGTTAATAATAATTAATTAGAAATAAAAAATGATAAAAAACAGAAAGGTTAAAGAAAAATATAAGTTTCTTAATAAAAAATTAATAGATTTGCTTGTATTTGCAATTATTTACATTTAAAAAAAATAGCAAATTTAAAAGATTTGAAAGATGAAATAATTAAGATAGAAAAGGATGAAAATAATGGTATAATTGATACTCGAACAATTCATTCCTTATTGAAAACTTTAGAAACTATTGATTTTTTAAATATTCACCATATTAAAACTGTTATTGTTTAAAAAGAATGTGATAGATGGCTTATTTCTCATTCTAGTGTTAATGAAGAGGATCCATAATTTAAGAAGAAGAAAATGGAATTGTAAAATGATAAATAATTTCTCTTTAACAAAAATAACATAGACTAACCTAAAAATCCAGGTAAAGAAAAAGAAGAAGTATAATTATAAAAAAAAAAATAACAAAGCGATACTTTTATTTAACAAGATGATGAAAAGATATATATAAGTGGTGACGAGATGGAAGTTTAATATAAAATAATCAATGCTAAGGAATATAAAATTAATAAAATTAAGTCTGCTGTAGAAAAATTAGATTTAATAATCAATTAATTAAAAAAGGAAGCGATTAACAAATTAAGACCAAATTATGATGTGTAGATTGCTAATGAAATTTTTTAAAGAATGAATCATACAGATAGTTCTATTGGATCATTACTGGGATTAGAATAAAAAGTTTATTAATAAATTGAATGTAAAAAGGAATTTTCATAAATGGAAGAATGGGAAATAGATACTAAATTATTAAATCCTTTATATTCCGTTTAATATCCAAATTTAAATGAAGAATTAACACCTTTAGAGTATCAACATAATATGAAATTTAAAAAAAATAATGCAAACTATGACTCACAAAAAAATGCTGCAGAAAAATTAAAGAATTATCTATTAAGATATCCAAATTAAAGTATAAGTAAATTAATGCATATTTTTCCAAATATTAATGTATATGCTTTGCTTAAAAAAATGTTAATTGATAATACCATTGAAGTACTTATAATAATTTAATTAATTAATAGATTAAAATACTTACAAATTAAAATTAGGATCTAGATTAAGCACTTGATTTATATGAGATTGATAAAATAAAGTATAGGATAACAGAAAATTATTTAGGATATTTTTGAGTTAACAAATTTATTTTTTAAATATAAAACTTTTTTAAATCAAAATAAATTTAGGATTGCTTCTTGAAAATGTAATCTCTGAAGTCATCAAAATTATATTAATTAGTTTCTTAAGCAAAATATTTTATATTTCAATAAGGATATCAATTTTTATTAAAATTTAATAATTATTTGTACTAAATATTTTAGATATTATAAATGAATAGAAATGAAAAGCAAATCGAACATTACCGTTACAATTATAAAAAAGGAAAAATTGGAAAAGGTTCATATGCAACTGTCTATAAAGGAGTGGATACAAAATCAAAATAAAATGTTGCCATTAAATAAATTCATAAAGCAGATCTTTAAAATGCAGGTTTTATCAAATTTATATTAGTTTAGATGACGAAGAGCATTTGCTGAATGAGATTAATATACTTAAGAGAATAAAAAATCCAAATATAATTGAAATACTTGATGTTCTTTAAACAAAAGATCATTATTATATTGTATTAGAATATTGTAATTTGGGAGATTTAGATTCTCTACTTAAATAGAAGAATATTATTAAATTAGAAGATCATATAACCTTCTTGTAAGATATTTTAAATGCCTTTACAACATTAATTAGATAAGGAATAGCCCATAGAGATCTTAAACCAGCAAATATTTTAGTTCATTAGGAAGGAAAAAGAAAGATCTTTAAATTAGCTGATTTTGGTTATGCAAAAACAATATTTAATTATAAAGCTTAAATTTTAAAAAGTAATTTGGGAACACCAGCATATATGAGCCCATAATTACTAAAAGAAGAATAATATACAACAAAAAGCGACATTTGGAGTTTTGGGATAATTTTATATTAAATTATATTCAATACTCGTATTATTTTAAGCTAATATAGTGCCTTGGATGGGGAAATCAGAAAATGATTTAATTTAAATGATCTATAGTATTCCAATACAATTTCCTTAAAATCCAAAAGTTTCGTCAATTTGTTTAGATTTAATTATAAGTTGTTTATAAGTGAATGAAGAAAAAAGAATAAATTGGGATGATTTATTTAGACATCCTTATGTATGCAATTATTTTGGAAAAGTGGATATTCAATAGAATAGCTGTTTAAAAAAGGTGTTTATATTATCTTAGAGTCTAAGATAGAAAATAGGATAAGAAGAATAGATGGATTAATTATTAATCAACTTAAATATTTAAGATAAATAATGTTAATTAAATTCTGAAGATTTTAAAAATTTTATTAAATAAGTGAATTAAAGCGAAAGCCTTAGTGATGATGATATTTAATTTTTATTTCAGGAATTTTAAATTGATGGCTTAGTAAATTATAAGGAATTTAAAAATTTTGTATTTTATAATCATCCAAAAAGAGTAAAAATTGTTAGGCATTTGTCTAATTCAAACATTACAATTCTTACAAAATTAGCATTAGGCTTGAAATAATATAATATCAAAGATTTGTTTGAATAATTTGCAACTACAAAAAAAGACACTTTAGAAAGACATTAATTTTCAAAAATGATTAAAATATTCGCAAGTACTAATTCTTTGACTAATCAAAATGTAAGAATTGACTATTACTTAATTTTTAGATAAAAGAAATAATTGATTTTTTTGATGACAATGGAGATGGTATGATTCAATTTTCAGAATTTAATAATGTTTTGAGATATGTGCAATAAATTGATAAATCATCGAATAATGATAATAGATTAGATACAATCACTGAATTAGATGAAATATCATTTATTTAAGAGAGCAACAGTTTTAAAAATATTAATTAAATGCTTGATAAAAGATCAGATTAAAAAATCAGTATATGTGAATGTATTACTTTTTGATTTTAATCTCATATAATATTAAAATTAATAAAATTTTAATGAATCAATTGACTAATTAAATAATTTGTGAATATAAATAATTTTTAGCCGATTGAAACAGTAAATTCTAAATTTGAAATAATTATGAATTAGAACTGAATTTAGTTTTGTTCCAAAAAGAAAGAGAATTTTAATATAAAAGAACAAAACATATAATGATAAATTTAAAGTCAAGGCATTTCTATTTCACCATATTCTAATAATCTCTTTTCATATGCAAGATATTATTGTTAATCAATGAACAATTCATAATTCATATATTCTAAAAATTCTTGTTCTAATTTATTTATTTCTTTCAAATTTACTCCACCAACCTTTGCATAGTATTCATTTTTATAATAATCATCATCTTAAAATTTTATCGCAATTACAATGGCTAGAAGTAAAAATCTATAAAAGATGTATAAAAAGATATACCTATGTATACAATGAGAATTTAATACTAGATATGCGTGTTTTTCTTAAAGTCTGTCAAGGTATATGAGAGCTATAACAAAACATTATTCACTGCAATGCGTATATTTGCTTATTCTTTACAAATAGTTGAAAATTGTTATAGCCGGAGCTGATACTGCATGAAAGAGAGAATTTGATTCTAATTCAAGAGAATCAGTTTCTTTGATTATCTCATCTAAAATATTTGAGATTATAAAGAGGATTGGATTTGACTGCTGCATTAATTTGATATATACAATAATATTAATAATAAAAATATCCTTTTTTATCAAATAATGCTACATTCACAATCGCAATCGTAAACTGGACATTTTTAATATAACTCAAACCATTCTTCAATATGAGACTAATGACCACCATGTTTACAACTTAAACACCAAACCATTGCTTAGTCAATTTTTAATTAATCTAAGATTCTTTATTAATTGGATCCTCTTTTTCTATCAATGTCTTAATTATTTGGTATTGTAAAATATTATGCACAAACAACACAATTGGACAATGCGTGATTACAAGAAGCACAAAGATTTGTTCTTGGATTATCATCTCTAGCAAGATTTCTAAGTAATTGATTAAATATTCAAAAATTAATACCCTCTTCTGGGGTTACCCCTTCTTTATATTTCTAAATAAGGTTATCCAACAGGATTCGAACAAAAATTGCAACACATTGAAATTTGGGGAGATAAGTACTGTTTGAAAGCTTCGTTAAGAAATGGTTTATTATATTCAATCTCAGTTTATTTTATCTTACATAATAATGTATTTATTGGTATTTCTTATTTTAATAAATAATCAATATATGAGTTAAATATCTTTATAAGTTTATCTTTTTATGGATAATCTATAATATATAAGTAAATAGAAACTATTCCACATAATTATAGATCGCCTTTATCATCTAGATATTATTATAAATATTAAATTGACATATCACATTTCCCATTTAATATTATATTATCTAACATATTAGAAATTTAAGGTTTCCTTCCTTAACAAAATCTAGCCCATAATCCTATTCTATCAAAAATACTTATCTTATTAGCACCATAGTTTAAATAATCAATAAATTTATCTTTTTTCAAAAATTCAGCAATTAATTCATAATATGGATCAGAAAATTTCTTATTTTCTAAAAATACTTAACAAATTTCAATTATTTTTTTAAGAATATCTTTCTAATTTGAAATTGTATATAAATTTCTTAATTCTTCAATGCCTTAAAGTGCCATTAAGATTTGATATGTTTCTTTATTTTTATTTTCAAGATGTTCTTTTAAAATTTATATTGCTTTCTAAAATTAAAAATGAACACAAGCAATCGCTGCTGCTCTTGAATATTCAGTCTTTTAAATACATTATTTACATATATTTTCAACATTAAAATTCTAACAATCATCTCCACTTTTCCAACCACATCTATTGATTAACTTACTTATTTAATCATTAGTAAAATATTTATAGAAAAAATACTCATTTTATTTTGCTTCACTTTCAGGTTAAATGTATATACCTTCAAGTATAGAATTTTCTTTAGGTTTTTAACTTAAGTTCTAATTTTATATATGTAATTCTTATTGAGAACGAATTGTTCCTGGTCTAGGCTTCTAAATTTGAGTATTATTAATTTATTATTGTTATTGTTATTACTTTATTTCATCTAAACATAATTGAATATATTAAAATATGTCAGGATTAGCAAAATAGCAATCATTTATATCAAATTGAAATCCTTTTGAAAGTCTCTCTTATACTAAATCATGGAAATCTTTTTCATTTTCATCTTTTTAAATTGAATTAATATTCCATTCGTTTTATGTCCTTACTAATATTTAGTCCTTTGAAATGTATTACAAGGAGTCTTTATATTAAAATAAATTTAAGTAATTGTATAATTCTTAATAATTATACTCCTAATCATCATCTAACTAAATATTAGTTATATTGTATTATTCCAATATATTCTAAAATTCGCTAGCAGGTATTTTTTTTTATCTCAAATTATGATCTTGGCTTATTTCTTAAAGAAGATTTTACATAATTCTTTAAATAATTGTAATAATATTGAAATAAAGAAATTGAAGATCATTATTATTGTTTTAAGAGGAAATTTATAGTTTCTATAGTACTTTTATTATAAGTCTAAAAGGACAGTAACTCTTCATGTTACAACTAAATTTTATATTACAAAATACTTCATCTATAAAATCCTAATTATTCAATAATATTCTTGGTAAAGTATTATCAAATCGAAGAATGAAATATTAAGTAGTTTCACATACAACATCTCTTAAATCTTCATACTAAGTTGTTATAGATTAATTTACTTATATTCTTCTATCAAAATGTAAATATATATCTGATATTTCAATAAATTATCTGAAAATTTAATTATACTCATGGTTTGATTCAAAAAAGCTTTTAATTTTGGTTTGAGAATTAGCCATGGTTCTATAATCTTGAAATATTTGTAAGGATTTGGCAATTACTAAATAGATCAAGCTCAAAGCTGTAATTTTTTCATTTTCCTTAAATCTATAATCTATAAGGCATATGTCAAACAATTAAACTAGTTCTCTATATCTATAGTATGATTAATTAGTTCTTTCTTTTAATAAGACTTTAGGTTCTTTATTAATAATGAATTCATCCCATAATTTAGTGTAATAATTCAACCAAAATATAGGAGTATTTGGATTCATTCTAAAATCAAGAGATTTTAATATTGAAACTTCCATTTCCTCTATTTCTTAAATTGAATATTAATCTTAAATAAGTTTATGAAAATCTCTTAATGTTTTAGGATAAATTTCTTCACATTTATGAGCTATGAAAATGGCTGCTACTCCAAGAAGTTAAAATTTAGATATTAAAACATTTTGTTATCTAAGAAGAAATCTTTCAACGTAATTTCTAGATAAATAAAATGTTTCCCTTTTAAAATTAAATGAATGAGCTACTTCAAGCAACCAATCAAATAAAATAGCCACCATATGACTTTAAATTTCTTTCTAGTTGTTTAAGTAGTTTTTTTAATAACTATAAATTTCTTCAAATTTTACTTATTCTCTCATAAACTCATTCAAAGTTTCTTACTCTTCTTCTTAATTATTTTCTTAACAATTATTAAATGTAAATGAAGATAAATCTTTTACAAATTCCTCGCAAATCAAATTCTCTTACACTTTTGAATTTAATTATTAAATTCTTTGTTATGTAAAAGGAATTTCTTAAACCATTATTGGAGATATTGTTATCTCATTCTTAACTTTCTTAGTGGTCGTTTATCTATATTTAGAAAATATTAAATACTCATATTCACATGCCGCCTAATTGGATTTGAAATTAACACTATCAAAATTGGATTTGTCTCCTAAATTTCTTTATTTTTGACCTTTTCTAGGTCTGCTTTTTTACTTTTTTTCATGGTTTTACATTTATAGACTCTTGGCTATGTAATTATTGTATTATTTAAATTTATTACTAATCGTATGAAAATTAAAATATAAGAATATCAAAGAGTTTATATTTTTGTTTTTATGGGAATTAATAGGATTAGAGATAAGATTATAAATAAATAAAGTATATTTTATCAAATAATAATATTCTAAGAAAAAACAACTCAAAATCATTATCCTCTCTTTTATTTTTTGAATTTGGCAATAATAGTTTCAATTTCATTAGGTGGAACTGGATCATGTCTTTTATATTCAAGAGAAAATTCTCCTTGTCCAGATGTAAAACCTCTTAATTCAGTGGCATAACCAAACATTTAAGATAATGGTACATCTGCATTTAATACAAACATATCTCCTCTAGATTCAGTATTAGTAACAGATCCTCTTCTTTTAGCAATACCAACCATACATTATTAATAAGATGGAGCAGGTACCATAATTTCAACAGCCATAACTGGTTCTAAAATTTCAGGTACAGCTTATCTAAAAGTTTAAGCAAATGCATATTTAGTAGCAGTCATAAATGCATTAGATGATGAATCTACAACATGAGTTTCACCTCCTTCTAATACAAATCTAACATTAACAACAGGATATCCAGTTAAAGGACCTTTATCTACAGATTCATAAAATCCTTTTTCAACAGCAGTAATATATTCATTAGGTATACTAGTACCAATAACATGATTTTCAAATTAATTAGAGAATTATCCTTCTTCTAATTAAAGTGGTTCCATATATCCAATAACTTTAGCATATTGACCAGCACCTCCTGTTTATTTTTTATGTAAATAATCAAATTGTTATTTTTAAGTAATAGTTTCTCTATAATTAACAGTAGGTTATCCTAATTAAACATCAATTTCAAATTCTCTTCTCATACGTTCAGCATATATTTATAAATGTAATTCTCCCATTCCAGAAATAATAATTTCTTCACTTTCTTTATCCATATCAACATTAAAAGTAGGATCTTCTCTTTAAAATTTAGATAATGCTTTTTAAAATCTAGCAGAGAATTCTTTTTTTGTAGGTTTAATAGATAAAGACATAACTGGTTATGGAACAAACATACTTGAACATAAAACTTGATAACTCATATCACCATAAACTAAAGTATCACCACTTGAACAATCAACTCCAAATACTGCAAAAATATCACCAGCTTCAACATCATTAATTTCTTCCATTTAATTTGCATGCATTTTAGCCATCCTAGCAACTTTTACTCTTTTTTTAGTTTTCATATTATATACATAATCTCCTTTTTTTAATTTACCTTAATATACTCTAACATATGTTAATTATCCAAATTTATTTTCTTCTAATTTAAATGCATAACCAACAAAAGGTAATTTAGTATCTGTTTTAAATTCTATCTTTTTTTCTTCTTTTTAATCTAAAGATATTTAAAATCCATAATTCTTCTTTTCTTCTGGAGCAGGTAAATAATCTACTACACCATCTAATGCTAATTAAACTCCCTTATTTTTATATGCACTTCCCATAAAAACAGGATAGAATTTATGATCTTAACAATTCTTTCTTATTGATTATTTTAATTTATCTTCACTAATAGGTTACTCATTTAAATATAAATCTTCTATTTCTGGATCTATACTACCTAATGTTTCTATTAATTCTTATCTTTTTTCTTTTGCTTCTTCTAAATATCTCTCTGGAATTTCTGTTTCTTTTACATCTTCTCCTTTTAATCCTTCAAAATAATAAGCTTTCATTTTTATTAAATCTACTAATCCATTAAATGTTTAATCCGATCCAATAGGTATTTATACTGCTGCTACTGTTAATGATAATCTCTTCCTTATACTCTAGATAGCACTCCATGGATTTGCTCCCATTCTATCCAATTTATTTATAAATATGATTCTTGGTACTTTATATCGAGACATTTATTTATGAACTGTTAATGTTTATGGTTATACACCTGCCACTCCACAAATTAATAATACTCCACCATCAAGTACTCTTAAAGCTCTTTCTACTTCTATTGTAAAATCTACATGTCCTGGTGTATCTATTAAATTCACTTAATGTCCTTTCCATTTCAAATGAGTTGCAGCACTCTATATTGTTATACCTTTCTCTTTCTCAAGTTCCATAAAATCCATTGTTGCACCTGCTGAATCTGCACCTTTAACTTCATGTATTTCATGAATTCTTCCACCATAATATAATACTCTCTCTGAAAATGTTGTCTTACCAGAATCTATATGAGCTGAAACACCTATGTTTCTTATTAATTTATGTATTGGTTAACTAAACCAAAACATAGGAGTTCGCATAAATGACCTAAATCGGAATATATTATTCATCTCTTTAATTTTTACGAGAATTAAAAATTTAATTTAATTTTTCCTTTTTTTATCTTTATATCTCAATCTAATTCATCTCTCTCTTTCCTTTATCTATTCTAAATATCATTTTTTATTCATCATTTTATTATTTTATAATTAACCCATTTAAATTCTATTCTTATATCTTTTTTAATAGTCCTATGTTCTAAATATTCTTAATTTTTATTTAAATATATCTGTTCATTTTATATTCTATCAATATGATCATTTTAACTTAATTTAATCACTATAACTTAAAATAATATATAAACAAAAATAAATAATAAATGTTAAATATTATAATCTTGCTTATTAGAAACATTAATTAGAATTCACTAAGTCAAATATTCTAATTATCTAATTTCCTATTTCAATCATTTTAGTTAAATTTAGATAAAATAATCATAAAGAATAGTAAATAAAGTAAAATAAATGAAATTTATAATCTGTTTTATTATTAATAATAATAATAATATATCTTTCTTATTATTACTTTTTATAAAATTTAAATAACTATAAGATAAAACTTTTTGCCAATCAATCTATTTTTAGCCATATTATTTAAAGTTTAATATATAATTATAAATCATGAATATTTTATAAAAAATAAAATAAGCCTAGGCGGATAAATTTTAATACAAATTTTACAAATAAATTCAATTATGAATTTGTAGATATTAGAATAGACTTTATAAAATGTTCTATTTTGATTCAGGACTTAATAGAAATATAGATTAATTCAAATAAAATTTATAAGATTCTTCAATGTGAAATTTATTTTAAGTATTAATATAATTATCAAACAAGCTCTTCTTCTAAGGTAGAAAACTCTTCAAGATTTATAGTGTCTATATTTGCCAACATTGATTTTTCATAAACTTCTACATGGTGTTTTTATTCTTCCTTTACTTATTAATCTAATTAGTTATATATTTATTATTCATCTATAATTAATGATGATAATACCAAAAATATTGCATTACTCCTGAAATTCTTTAATTAAATCATCATATTCTAATTTGGCTCGCACATCTCTAAAATTTTCAAATGTCTTCATTCTTATTTATTTTAAGTTCTTTGAAGCATTTAATTCAATTTTCTAAGTTTAGAAATACAATATACCAACTTGGTTATCTCCATAGTTTTTTCTTCCATTTTAATGTAATAATTAGTTTAAATATTTTTTAAATAAAAAATAAATCCATTATTTTTGCATGGTTCAAGTTAAGAGATAAGATAGAAGAAAAGTATATGAATACTTGTTATTGGAAGGTGTAATAGTAATTAAGAAGGTAAATGATGAAATAAATAAATTATAGGACATGGCACTCCCATTACATGCTGAAACAGGTGTTAAGAATCTTGAAGTTTGGATGTTATTGAGAAGCTTAAGAGATAAGAAATTAGTGGATTTAGTATTTTCATGGCAATATTACTATTATTATCTGAAAGCAGAAGGAGTGAAATATGTGAGAGATAAATTGGGTATTTATTTTATGTTCTACATTATGTTAGGTATTGTAGAAGATGTCATTCCTGCAACATTTAAAAAGGCTGATAAGAAATTTGAAGATGATGCTCCAGAAACAAGATAAAGAGGTGGAAAAGGAGGAAGATCATTTGGAAGAGGAAATAGAGGAGCTCCTAGAAGAAATGAAGAAACAGAATAACCTGCTTAATGAGTATAATTACATAAGTATATTACATTACAGATCTTTTTTTTTGTTAATCTCTTCTAATATATATTAGTTAGTATATAAATATATATTATTTAGTATATAAATATTTATTAGTTAGTATATAAATATATATTAGTTAGTATATAAATATTTAATCATATATATAAATTATTAATATAAATATATAATCAAGAGCCACAATTTAAGCAAACTTCAACTTCATCCCCATCTTCAGTAACAATTATTTATGGTTTACCTTTCTTAACTGTTTTCCCTTCATTTGTAACTATTCTTTTAGATGCACTTTCATCAATCAACTGTTATTTAGATTATTATTATTAAATTTTTATTTATCCACCCTCTTTTAAGAGAGCTTCAACATCGACTGTAAATTTGATTGGATCTGCAGCAGGTCGAGATCTAAGATAGTACATTCCTATAATAATGATTATTAAATAGAATACCTGTTTTCAATCCCTTTTCCCAAGCATAGAAATGCATAGATGTTACTTTAGACATTGTTGGTTCAGCCATATGAATATTTAAAGATTAACTTTAATCTATAAATGGAGCTCTGGAAGTTGCCAAGTTTAAAATTGCTTTTTATGAGATTTCCCAAACTGTTTTATATAACTATTTGATATTATTTGGAATTTCTTCTATATTTTAAACAGATCCATTATTCATGATTAATTTGTTTTTGATTTATGGAGTCCATAAATTTAATTCAATTAAATCATCAACTAAATGGGGATTAATACAGACAAATTCTCCAGCTAATACTCTTCGTGTATATATGTTTGTTGTATATGGTTCAAATGATTCATTATTTTAAAGTATTTAACTTGTTGATGCTGTTGGCATAGGTGCAATTAATAATGAATTTCTCATTCCATATTTTATAATATTTTATTTAAGAGTATTCCAATCATATAATTATGGATTAACACCCCACATATCAAATTACAATATTCCTTATGACGCTGGACTACCAGTAAAAGTTTCATAAGGTCCAAATTACTATGCTAATTCTAATGATCTTTGACAAGCACCATAATAAATAGTTTCAAAAATTTAAGAATTCAATTCTAAAGCATCTTCTGAATCAAATGGAATTTTCATTTTTTATAATGCATCAGCAAATCCCTATACACCAATTCCAATAGGTCTATTTCTTTTATTACTGTATTCTGCTTATTTAACAGGATAAAAGTTCAAATCAATTACTATATTTAAATTTGTTGTAATTATTTTAGTAATATCTAATAATTTTTAGAAATCAAAAGTTTTATCTTCTTTGATTAACTTTTACAAATTAATACTAGCAAGATTACAGACAGCAATCTCATCTGGTGATGTAAATTATATAATTTCAGTACATAGATTACTACTTTTAATAGTACCAAGATTCTTTTAATTACTTTTTAAATTACATGCATCTTTATATAACATATATGGTAATCCTGTTGAAATTTATGCATCAATAATTTCTTACCATAATTATCTTGCTTTCATTGTAAGTCTACCCATATTTTTTGATTCATATTCAGTATATAATTTATTAAATTCTTATCCATAACAATCTTAAAGACCTGGACATTCATTTGGACACATTAAAGTCCAATCTGAATCATCTTTAACTCTTTACATAAATAGATCTGGAATCCATAAACCTAAAAATAAATCTCTTGCTCTTTATTCTTCAATTCCATGATTCTTTCTTAATTATAAAAAACTTATAATATCACTATGCCATGGTTCCAAATAAATAGCAAAAGAACCTTTTCTTTTGCCACCTCCTTAATCAACATATCTAGCTGTATCATTAAATACTTTTAACATTGGTACTAATCCATTACTTATTCCATTTGTTCCTCTGATATAACTATCTTAAGATCTAATCTTTGATACACTCAATCCTATTCCACCTGCTGATTTACTTATCAAAGCACATCTCTTTAATGTTTCATATATTCCCTCTATTGAATCATCTACCATATCTAATAAAAAACATGAAGACATCTAAGGAAAAGGAGTTCCACTGTTAAATAATGTTGGTGTAGCATGAGTAAAATATTTTTATGACATTAAATGATATGTCTAAAAAGCTGATTCCAAATCTTTTTTATGGATCCCAATACTTACTCTCATTAATAATTATTATGGTCTCTCTATTGGTCTTTTACCTTCCTTCAGTAAATAACTTCTTTCTAAAGTTTTAAAACCAAAAAAGTCATATTGATAATCTCTTTCATAATTTATCTCTTTTTGAATTCTATCTTTATTCTCCATTATTATATGGTAAACATCATCGGCTATCAAAGGAGCTGGTCTACCGTATTTATCCTACAAAAATACAACTAAAATTTACTGTAAATGAATGTAATTTTTTAGCTACTTCACTAAATGATTCACTTGTTTCCTTATGAAGATTATTGACTGCTATTCTTGCAGCTAATAATGAATATTATGGATGAACTAAATTCATGTAAGCACATGTTTCTGCCGCCAAATTATCTAATTATACAGTTGTTATTCCTAAAATATTTTCTAAAATTTTTAATACCTTCATACATTCCTTAAATAACTTTCCACATTATTAAGTTTATATTTATATGCTGAAGATTTGATGCTAAATTTTATAATCTCTCTGCTATTTTTTAAATATCAATATTTTATTTTCCTCCATCTCTTTTTAATACATAAGATATATTTTTTTATTTTGCTAATTCTTATAAATGTTCAAAAGAATAATCATGATCCTAATCCATTTTTTATATATAAATATATTTTTTAACTATACTTTACTTTAAATTACACAACATTTGGCTCCAAAAGTTTTAGTTTGAAAATTATTTTATAATATTATCAATAACGCTAACCAGGAGAAGTGAATCCACTACTGTATGTTAACTAAGATTCTGATAAGTCTCTTGGCTCTATATCAACTTCTTATTATGGTTTATAAAGTGAAAACTGGGAAGATGATCCTGGACTATAATATTACTATTATTTTTAGAATTATCCAGTGTTGTATGCTAAATTAAATTATATAAAATACTTGAATTGTTCTTATTTTCAACTTCTTAATTTATTTGATTACGTATTTACTAAGTTCTTTTGAATATTTCCTATTCTCTTTCTCTCAACATGGATTACAATTATTCATCATGTTCTCTTTCTCGTATATTTTGCATTTCATCTCTTATTTGATTTCTTAATTAATTAATTTTTTCTCTTTCATCTTCAACCAACATAGAAGGTGAAAATTATTATTACTTTTGACTTGATTGAAAATCATATAATGCACTTGATAATTTCTAACTTGTCATTGGTTCTCTAACATCTCCTGAACTTTACTCAAAATTGTTCTAATAATTACTATTTTAATAATAATTTGGTTAGTATTATTAATTTGAAAAACTCTATGATTTTTTATATTATTCCATTAATTGTTATTCCTAGATTCTCAATTTATCTTAATGTTATTTTGCTATTCTTTCCATTTCCTGTTCAAATTATTATCTTCTCTATATACTACTTTATCTTTTTTTATCTTCAACTTATCTTTTGTCTCTCAATTACTACTCTTCTTTACTAATCTAATCTTAAAATAATTGATCTCTTAATTTCTTTTCTCTCTCTAATTAAATCATTTTTAAATCTTATTGAAATTAATGTATTCTTTCTTGATATTCAACTTCTTCTAACTATGCTTCATTTTCTAATTCTTGAATTTATTACATTTTTAACTACTTTAATTATTCAACTTTTATTTATTATTGTTAAGAGTCCATTTTCCATTACTCACATTTAATTTAGTCTAATAATTCTTTTTCTTTTTATCTAAATTCCATTTAAGATTATATTTTTCTCTAATTTTCTTGTTTAGCTCTTTATTCCATTTATTATTAAAATTTACTAAATATTTAATACTCTAAATTTTATAAAGCTTCCTCTTCTTGTAATGAGACAATTCTAAAATTGTCAGCCAATTAAGTTTTTCTAAATTATTTATTTAAATATTCTTGTTCCTATTGTTATAAATCTAATTATTTCTAAACTGCTTCATTCATAGTTTTCTCTAAGTTTTCTAATTATTTAATTCTTTATTATCTAACCTACTAATCTTATTAAAATTATTTCTATGCCCTCATTTCCACTTAATAATCAAACATTTCTTGTCTGTCTTTTTCTGCTTACATTGTTAGAAGTTATTTTTCTTAAAAGAGTTAATCTAATTATTCCATCTATTGAGCCATTTATTATAATCTAGAAATTTGTTATTACTTTTGTATCAATCTTTATTCATCTTCTTATAGTTGTTCTCTAACTCTTGCTTAATATTATACACTTCCCTTTGGATAAATACTAAAGAGTTAATATTAATCCTTTTATAATGGTAATAAAAACTATAAATTAATTTAATATTGATCCATATCTAAAGATTTACTAAGATTAATTGTATTCTCAATCAATTTTTCTATTTCAACTGTATTGCTTCTAGCAAAAAACAATTCTAATTAATCTTGATCATTCATTCTCATTATTGTGTTTTTAAAATAGATAAAGTATTCTACCATAAACAATACAATCATTTAAGGTAAATCATTATACAATATTAAATGATCAATTAATTGCATCCATTAATTCTTTGTCAATAAATTTGTATAAAATTAACGTATTGATGGCCAAGCATATTTAATTGATGTATATCCTAAATATTATTTCATATGTTAATATAATTGAGGTTCTACCTAATTGAATACTTAATCATGGAATTACAATAGAGATACAGGAGCATTAGGAAAATTTTCAAAAAATCTTTGGCAATGTTAAATCAATAAGGATAGAGTCGCTTCAAATATCAATAGTTCTTCTCCCCTTTTAAATAATTTAACAAATGGAAAAACTAATTATGGCAAATAATCTATTTCAGCAAACAAAGGACAATAATATGCCAAACAAGATAAAGTTCTTTATAATCTTGAAAACATCGATTCACTCTATAATGGATATTAATCAGCTAATTTTTAATAAGCAGGATGAACTCCTTAATTAATTAAATTGTTGTAAGCTTCTTAATTCATTGGCAAATTAAGCAAAGATCTCCAAATTAAACTTCTTTTATCATCTGGAAAAATGTGATATTATTTTAAGAATTATTGTAGTTTCTAATAATTTAATAATTCTTTCAATGGATCATCACTGTTCTTATATATTTTTCCTAATGTATGAGAATTAATTGGCTAAGATATACTATTAGATTTGCTGTTCTTTTTACTTACTGCTGATTATGAAAATGATCCTTACATAGTATTAGTATTATTTCCAACTTTCTTGATATCAATATTTGTTGTTGTATTATTGAAATTTAAAGTATCAGCATAATTCTCCTTAATCATTGTGCTAACATTTACTCCTATTGTTGAATTCAGATTTTAATTCTATTTATTTAATTTATTAAGATCATAGAGAGCAATCTCTCCTGTGTTTAATATTATTGCAATTTTATTTTAATAAACATCAAAGTGAATAGGAGTTTTACCTTATAATATCTCAATACATTTTATAAGATTCCCAGTACTATCTATTTAAATAATCATAGAATTTTTAGTCAACATCAATATTTATTATCTTTTGATAGGCTTAACTAATTAAACACCATTCCCATATCCTTAATTTACATCTTAAGTTATTAAATTGTTGTGATTATCTAAGATGTAAATTTTGTTAGAGTGACAATTTATTATCAATCTTTGTCCATCAATAGATGGAACTAATTGACATTATTTAATATTAAATTATTCAGGTAGTTAGATTCTGCTTATTATTTCAAACGATGATAGATTCCAAATTGATAAAGATTTGTCTGCCATGACTGTTGCTAATTCAGTTGAGGAAGGTAAAAAACTAGCTCCAACAAATATACTTCCTTTAGAGAATAAAGAATGAACTTTATCAAATGAGTCTAAGGAATGCAAAATACATTAATCTTGACTAACAGAAAGCAATATATTTTAAGTATGATTAGTATGCAATCCTAAGATCTAATGTTCATGTCCTTTCAGAGTTTTTAAATTTCTTCCATCTTAATTGTTAAAATAGAAATTATACTTTAACAAGACACAATTTGAATAGTTTTATTTTACAATGCTATTGCCAGTTAACCTCCTTTATTATCAATATATGATATCAAATTAGCTGGACTTATTGTTGGAATATTTATGTATCTATTTTTATCATGATAAAAAATGAATGGATTCCCTGATTAATCTATGCAAACCAAAAAATCAAAATAAAAAACTATTTTTGGTTGGCTCTTTAATTTGATCAAATCAATCAAACCATTAATTGTCTATCCTTCTGGATTCATTAATGCTCCATTCTTCACTGCTAGTGTATGTAATTATGGGCCTTTATTTTTCATTTAATTTAAATTTTAAAATGTAAGTTATAGACATAAAATTAAACAAATGTATTTTTTATTATGAAAAAAAATTAATGTTAATTAAATATTCATATATATTTCAATCTTGTAGTTTAGATTGCAGATATTGAATAAACAGGAAGAGTTCGTTGCTTTACTATAAGGAAAGGCGATTTTTATCTATCTCTAATTAATTGTAACGCTTTTGCTCTACTAAATTTATATGGGCTTTTCAGTCTTATTTATGCTTTTTATTTTATTAAGTTGCACTCAATCAAATCATTAATTTATAAAGAAGAATGTGATCTCATTGTATTTTATCTAGTACTTTATTTTTCTCTTGTTATTAATCTCTCCCTTGGACTGACAAGTTATTTTCTTATTTCATCACCGTATTCTTCCTTACTTGTGCAAAATAAATTAGTAGCTACTACTTCAAGTTTTTTTTTATTGAAAATTTGCTATATAAATGATAAACTTGGTTTTTGTTGTGTTGAATTCTTATTTTTAATTAAATTCATTTATTGTATTGATAAAAATTATCTAATTGTTTTTATTATTTAGCATTAATATTTTCACAATCTTAGTTAAAATACTTACAATTTAAACACAATTTGAATAATTCAATTTAATTCTTTTTTTTACTCCTTATTATTAATGAAGACAATTTAAGAAATATTGAGTCTTTGTTTAAAAAAGCTTCAAATTTGGTTTTATTCTAAAAGTTTGTTAATTCTAAAAATTTCCATAACAAAAAAAGTATACCCTAAAAAAAGCAAAAGTTTTCATGATTATCAATTTAAATTTCTTAAGATCAAAATTGAAATTAATTCACTAAAAAGATAATGTAAATATTTTTTAAGTGTCAAATACAACAATTAGCTTAACATTTTTGGAACAATTTAATAGTTTATAGAATGTTATAAGCTATAAATCTAAGAGTATAGTTTTTTTTGAATTTATATATAATTCTTATTATCTTCTTATGGGTATTGTAATTATTAAAAACAGAAATTAATCTTGATTGAGAAGGTTCATATGAATTAAAACAATAATTTAGGTATTTAATAAGAATGCTGATTTGAAATAATATTATTTAAGTTTAGAGATAAGTGTTGGAAATGAAATAAATAAATAATTAAATAAAAATGTAAAAAGCAAATATCATTTTTTTCTATGGACCTCCAGCGACTGCAAAATCTTATGTAGCCTAATAAGTTGCAAAATAAACAGGATATGTTTATTTCAACTTAGATGAGTTCTATGTGAAAGTAAAAGCATAAACAGAAGTTGATAAATTGAACAAATTGATGTAAGTATTCTAGGCTGAGCCAAAAAACTATGTTGTCGATGGATTTCTAGATAAAAAGGCTTAAGCAGTTGTATTCTTTGAGCATTATCAAAAACCTCGATACATAGTATATTTCTAATCAAGTAAAGATGAAGTTGAATAAAATATCAGGTTATTAAGTAAAGAGGATTAAAAAAAATGTCGTTTTTAGAGATTTACTAGCTTCCTCTAAAATCGTGATGAAATGCTATCATATTTAAAAAAGTTTCAATTCTATGTAACTGTCGATGCAGTATAAAAAGGATTATCAAATAATTTTTAATAATCATCAGATTTAATTATTTAATCAATAATGAGTTTTTTAAAGCCTACTGTGTTGGTTGCTTTAACATATAATAATGAAGATTTGGCAGAAGTATATTTGAATAAATTAGAGACAGAATTAGGATATAAGCATTTGCATTTAGAAACTTTATGTGAAGAAGAGTTAGCAAAAGGTACTCCATAAGGAAAATAAATGGGGGCATTTTTGAATTCTGGTTAGGTTGTCCCACCATAAATGTAAATAGAATTACTGAGGAAATATTTATATAATGATCCTCAATAAAATAAATTTATATTGACAAGTTTTCCTGAAAAATATTAAGAGTTTCGAACATTTGAAGATAAATTATTTCCAATAACAGGATTAATTAATTTTTTGAAAGAAGGAAAAACAGTTTCTTTTTCAGCTAAAATAAATCCAGTTTTACATTATTCAGCTGAAGGCAAAAACTTAATAATTTAGAACGAAGATTTGGGACCATTTTAATCTTATTTAACAAAAAGAGTAAAATATGGAATTGTAATTGGCCCTGTAATGACAGGTAAGACAACATTTGCTAANTACAACAATTAGCTTAACATTTTTGGAACAATTTAATAGTTTATAGAATGTTATAAGCTATAAATCTAAGAGTATAGTTTTTTTTGAATTTATATATAATTCTTATTATCTTCTTATGGGTATTGTAATTATTAAAAACAGAAATTAATCTTGATTGAGAAGGTTCATATGAATTAAAACAATAATTTAGGTATTTAATAAGAATGCTGATTTGAAATAATATTATTTAAGTTTAGAGATAAGTGTTGGAAATGAAATAAATAAATAATTAAATAAAAATGTAAAAAGCAAATATCATTTTTTTCTATGGACCTCCAGCGACTGCAAAATCTTATGTAGCCTAATAAGTTGCAAAATAAACAGGATATGTTTATTTCAACTTAGATGAGTTCTATGTGAAAGTAAAAGCATAAACAGAAGTTGATAAATTGAACAAATTGATGTAAGTATTCTAGGCTGAGCCAAAAAACTATGTTGTCGATGGATTTCTAGATAAAAAGGCTTAAGCAGTTGTATTCTTTGAGCATTATCAAAAACCTCGATACATAGTATATTTCTAATCAAGTAAAGATGAAGTTGAATAAAATATCAGGTTATTAAGTAAAGAGGATTAAAAAAAATGTCGTTTTTAGAGATTTACTAGCTTCCTCTAAAATCGTGATGAAATGCTATCATATTTAAAAAAGTTTCAATTCTATGTAACTGTCGATGCAGTATAAAAAGGATTATCAAATAATTTTTAATAATCATCAGATTTAATTATTTAATCAATAATGAGTTTTTTAAAGCCTACTGTGTTGGTTGCTTTAACATATAATAATGAAGATTTGGCAGAAGTATATTTGAATAAATTAGAGACAGAATTAGGATATAAGCATTTGCATTTAGAAACTTTATGTGAAGAAGAGTTAGCAAAAGGTACTCCATAAGGAAAATAAATGGGGGCATTTTTGAATTCTGGTTAGGTTGTCCCACCATAAATGTAAATAGAATTACTGAGGAAATATTTATATAATGATCCTCAATAAAATAAATTTATATTGACAAGTTTTCCTGAAAAATATTAAGAGTTTCGAACATTTGAAGATAAATTATTTCCAATAACAGGATTAATTAATTTTTTGAAAGAAGGAAAAACAGTTTCTTTTTCAGCTAAAATAAATCCAGTTTTACATTATTCAGCTGAAGGCAAAAACTTAATAATTTAGAACGAAGATTTGGGACCATTTTAATCTTATTTAACAAAAAGAGTAAAATATGGAATTGTAATTGGCCCTGTAATGACAGGTAAGACAACATTTGCTAAATATATTTCATAAAAATTCGGTTTTAATTTAATAGAATGGGGAGAAACAGCAATAACTTAATTGAAAGAAAAATTAAGTACAGTTCCAGGTGAATAAATAGAAGAATTAACATTACCTATGATAATTAAATATTATAAAGAACTTTTTAGTAATGTAACAAATGAAAAATATGTGTTTGATGGGTATGAAATATATTTATTATATCAGATTTCCTCCAGGATGTGATAAACCAGAATAGATATTACAATTTTTAAATTTGGGATCAGCTAGCTGGATATTAAATATTGGAATAGATTAGACCAATTAATGGATTAGATTTAAAATCAAAAGTGAAATGGATGCAGCAGCTGAGATGACTGACGATGATAAAGAAAAGATGATTACTAATGCTAAATCACATGAAGAAATTTTAAAGTAAGTTTAATTATATGTGTAATAATAACCAGATTGTAAATTATTTAAATAAGATACAAATTATTCTTTGGAGCAGAATTATAAATCTATTGATCAAATATTTGGAAAAAGAGTTTATTTAGCATCAATCTTAGCTAATTTAGATAGTGATATTTATGAAGCATTGAAATTGATTTATATAAATATTGCTGCAAAACATAAAATGTCATTCGTAGATGTAGAGTAATTAATTGCTAAAAATTTTGATAAACTTTCAAATGATTATGAAATGAGATGGACAAAACAGAATTGCAAAAACCCATCTAATTTTGCTCCTGAAACAGTGATGAAATTAGTTAAGCAATATATTGATGATTTACCTATTTAAAGCAGGTATAAATTTAAATTAATTAATATTTAGAGATGTCTTATTATGGGGTTACATATCAGCCGATTAATAAGGAGATAAATAATAATAAGAATAAATGTTCCCAAGGGCTACAGATGAATTGATGATGGTAGAGAAATAATTAGGATAAATTAAAGTTTTATATGCTATCACTGAATAACCATTAAATTCAGAAATTAACGACCCTGAATGGGTTTTAGAAAAACCTGAAGTTCCACCTCCAAAACAAGAGGGTGATGGGGGCGATGATGAACCAAAAGATGGAGGTAATGCTGATGGTGACGAAAATGTTCCCAAATTTAATATTTATAATTATTAATGGACAAAAAGTGAAGTTCCTAAAAACATGGCTTAAATTTTCATGAAAGTAAAATAACCTAATCCAGTAATATATTATCATTAAATTAGGTGTAACTTGAAGTTAGTGATTATAGCTTCAAATTAATTTATGATAATTTTGATGAGCTTTTCTAATCAATTTAAGAAAATAACAATAATACCTATTTTGCTTAGATATAATTACAATAACCAATTATGGATTGAATTATTCATTAAAAATAAATATAATTCAATTAGTAAATAATTCATGATTAAATTTTTGTATTACTATTCATACATATTCAAGAAAAACAAAAACTAAAGTATTCAATTATAATTGCAAAAACACTATAACTTCAAAATTGGAACTTTTAGTGGAAAGTTTGTCTACTTAAACGCATGTATGAAATTCAAATTAGCAAATGTAATTACTATGGCAACATTTTTTCAATTTAATGACTTTCAATTCTAATCAATAATCAATAGGGATATCTATCATTTCATGTTATAGTCCAATATTTTTGACAAAGAGAAATGATAATTGGAAGTTTATTTAGAAGATAAGCAAAATATTTTAAATCATAGAGAAACTATGATGAAAATGATGTTTCTCTTTTTCTTTTTCCATTTTTCTTCATAAATTTTTTTAACATAAATGAGTTTTAATTTTATATCTGTAATTACCAAAATTAAAAAAAATCAACGCTAAGAGATTATTTTAACTGTCATATATTTGAGATTACTTAAAAAGTCGTTTCGTGATTTCTTCTATTATAACTGATATTTTTAAATATTAATTAAATTTTATATATCTAATGCTGAAAATCGAGTATTAATCAATAACTATACAGAGATAGTTCTTTAAAATATTTATTAATATTGTTTATTCATAATCAATTTTCTATAATGATCAATTGTAATTTCATATGGTTGAGATTATTTTTTAAAATTAAAAGATTAGAAAGTTCGGATAAGATTTAGTCTTAAGATATTTGATAAATTTAATCTTAAATAAATCTAGAAACAAGATAATTGTTTTAATA